TAGCGGTAGAGAATATTTTAAGATTAGTTCACGCAATGCATACACCCAACTATTGTCAATAACGATAAATCAGCTATTCATGATACATTTTGAAATGATGTTCTCTATATGAAATGCGTCATGTTTAACGAAGAAATTATATAGTCCGTGAGTTTAAGACAGTAGATATATATTATATATACCGTAGTTATGAAAAAAACAAATAATTGTCCATATTACGAGGCTCCGATCACTCGAATTGATAATTTTTCAGATAAAATTATTCTGAAATTCAAAATGTTTTTATACGGAATATATCTAATTTGGAATATTCGATTCGTTTTGTATACCCTGCATATACCATTGACACAGTTACATTCGCTATTCCTAGTCACAGCGACGAAAAAAGGAGCTCAATTTTTGAGCAGGCATTCATAATATCGAACCCAAACGCGCTAGAGCGGCCAATGAACAACTTATTTCAATCAACTTTCCCGTTATAAAACACAGTTATCCTATTAAACTGAATATGAATCCACATATGGGCCTTGCATGCAAATAACGAGCATTCAGATCGCTGAAATGAGCGCGACTTAATCAATAATTGAAAAACATTTCAATCCGTGTGACGTCATCACAATACAGGAGAATTAACTCAAATCCCTCGAGACTCAACTTCGATCATAATGATGTAACAATCAACAGATAAGTTTGAGAAAGTACAGCGCAGTGACGTAACAAATAACCTGCCGTATAAATTGTAAAACAAAATGTCAGAATATAGCGAAGTCTTACTTGAGATTTCCAGTACAAGAGCTCTTCAGTGGATGACATGGGTATAGTATCTCGCATAGCACAGCGCTATCATGTGTCTAGGGAACAAGCCACGAACATCGTATAATTCCACTTGTTGCTAGCAAACGACACCTACTTTCACCTGTTGCCAGATATTCAATATCGCATCCTAAGACTATTTTATTACACCCGTAGGTCTACAATAAAACAACGGTTTTGAAGAATTTTATAAGGAAATTGGAAAACAAAATCAAATACGATATCGCCACAAAAAATACGCCATGATACGGTTGTGGGAAAACTCCCAAATTGTGATTCTACTTTTCAAAATCTACCAGCCGCAGTAGAAAAACATAAATAGAGTCTTTATATCTATAACGAATGTTTCTACCGTTCCCAGGTATGTTATCTTATAAATATCAATTCATTTCCGTCCTGAAATCGGTGTAAGTCTGCGCTATCACAAGCTTACTAAAAATAAAGTAATGATTCCAAAACTTTTCTTCCAAGTAGCTCAAATTTCATCATCATCAACTTTGCCACATTTCAGCATAAACCAGTATCAACAACTTTGCCACATTTCAGCATGAACCAGTATTAAACAACGTCTCCTTCTGTAACATGTAACTCGCTCTATTGGAAATGAGTTTGATCATACCAATTATACTGGCTCGGGTAGTTTCAATGATCTGGGTAAATGGCCCCCCCTTTTTTCATTCAAGGAGTATATACCGAGACAAGGCTAATTGCACAACAAAGGTTCACGATAGAGCGTGTTGCTGCAAAAATGTGGTGGTCGCGGTCGTCTGCACACTGAAAACCTTAAAATGAACACTATATCTCTTTAATATATTTATTTTAATTGGCGAGATTTTCAATTCACAAAACACCAGTTACTTAGTCTCCAAACCTGGCGATTGGTATAATATTGTGGAAAATTAACGGCGTGGATTCCATTGTTTATATAAGCTTTCAACTTAGAAATGAAGGAGGATGTTTCCTAGAGTATCGACTTCCTCGTTTATCGCCGTAGTCATAACCAATCAGAAAGTAAGTTCATGTTGGCGTAGTAAAAAATAACTTTTAAAATTTTTTCAATAGTAAAGTATAGGAAGAATTTATCTGGTGTCAAGAGTCTGTACAATTCAGAGTGGGCAAGTAGACTTATATAATTCTATGAAGCACTATCTTTACTACATCTATCTCGATTAGAGTTATAATATGATACTGTCTCTTCTCTGCTACTGCCCTTCCCTATAGTTACAACTGTTTGTCACTTCAAAAGTTCGTAAAAAATCAACTACGGCGGTTTATTACTTTATCTACAGAGAAAAATTGACTCATTTCTTTCGAGCACAGCAAGTATAAATCCTTTTTGTATGTTGTAAGCAATAGCAAACAGCAGCGGTGGTTCGCTTTCCCCGTGCATAATCGAAATAGAAAAAGGCGACCAATCGATATTTCCAACGTTCCTTTGTCGCACAGGGAGCCGACGTCAAGTGAAATTACGGGATACAAGTAATCATGCATGGATGATACTTGATACTCTTTCGGCATTAGGTGCGTTAAAAAACTCACTCTAAGCTGCAGCAAGCGACCAAATTAGAGGGCTACCGTTAATTTATATTATGCGCCACCACCATTACGTTAGTTGGTTATGATAGACTGATACCATTAGGGTCATGTAAACAATTTAAATCAGGTATGCCAATTACAAAACAAATGTATCACGGACTTAGATGATTTCTTTATGATATTAGAACCTGGGTGTCTCTGCTTCATAACCAGTTTCGCTTCCGCAGTAAAACTATGTGCTAATTTTTTTTCTGATAATTTGAATAAGATCGATTATTTTGCTAGCAAAAAATAAACCTGGCTCGTCTTTCTATGAAATTAGTTTTGGACCGAAATGGTGTTTTTCATCAAAATTTTGTAGAGTACTCCCGTTAAAATATTCAATAGATTAAAATTATTTCTAACTAAAAATCTTTGCCAGAACGACTGACAACTGTACCATTTTTTTGTTAATCCTTGAAGCATGAAAATTTCTGTCAATGATTCAAATACTATTATTTATTGTCTTTCTCCATGGCTGTGGAGTGGCTGAAAATTTACAAATGAAATTTTTTCTTGGATCTGACCTTTGGCTCCGACCTAAATCTTCTCCCCAATTTAGGTACTCGAAATTTGAACATAGGTTCTCAACCAGTGGGCCATGGCCAACTGCTGGGCCACAAACTTTTGAAAAATTACAGAGTTATTGATAAATTAGTTCAACTTTGAGTGTATTAGCAATAAATGATAATAATACTGTACTAAGCTACTAAATGGTAATTTTTATATTAATTATGGCAATGGAAGTGTCTAATTATGTATGAAAATTTTTTTGTTTTTCTTGTAGTTTTTCCCTTGCATGAAAAAGTTAATGGGCCACAGAATTTATCGTGCAACCGAAGTGGGCCACAAGAGAAAAAAGGTTGAAAACCACTGCCCTAGCACAAATACATCTCTGTAATGTTTCGTGTAATACAGCTATGACACTCACAGGGTTGACTAAACCAAAATAATTCTGTATTTCAAATAGATTCTAAAATAATCTTCTGGAATATGAAATATCGAATATATTCTGAAATGAGTCTGCTATACAAGAGAAAATTCTTTAAGAACATTGTAAATTTTTTAGAAATCAATTTGGTTAGGCAGAATAATTGAGACGAACACTAGTTTGATTAGTATTCTTTATTGTATTCTGTCTGAAATGAACTGATTTTTTGTCTATCATAATATTTAAAAAAAATATATTCTTAATTATTCCTGAAATCAAGAATTAACTAAATCGAATATACCCAATTTCAAATATATATATTCAATTTAGACATTCCTGGATACTGCAATGATGGTGGAAAAGAGTGCAGACAACTACTGCAAGTGATTCAAGAGTCTTGCTGAACAAGATTTCACCATGTTGGCCAACATACTCAAATTTTGATAATAAAAACATACCGGTAAGCGTATTCAAGCCTTATCCAATTAACAATAATAAACTGTTTGGAACGCTCAGGTACCTTAATTTTTTTGAGGTAAATGATTACGGTCTTCAATGTATATATGTTTGTTACCAAACATTCTGTGATAGCAGTATAGCATAAGCTTTTTTTATTCATAATTTCAAAATAATTCATATGAAGGCGCTAACAAAATATCAAAGCGTAAATATTTATTAAAAAAATATGTTTATTGTGAGTGTTTATGTTAGAATGCTCGATTATAACTTGATAAAACTGTGATATTAACAACACGTCAACACATGAATATGATGAGACTTATGCCCTTTGAAAATGTGCAAGAACTTGTTTTGTGGTGTGACTGGTAATATGCTAAGGTATTATCACCTATTTAGCACCAAGCTGGAGTCAGCCGTCTAGCGGCTGATGTCAAATAAACAACATAAAACATAGATTATCTAGAATCTAGATAGACACCACAACAAGGAACATTTAACATAATTCCTGACACACTATATAAATGATAATTTTTGTCATTTTCAGCTCAAGCAGGATTTACCGGTAATATATATTTGTTAAAAATTTAATTTGGAACTTTTAAACCCTTATACCATATTTTCAAGTCCAGTTTCCACAAGCGTTGTGCTTTATTTTCCCGACTATATACCGATTGCACGTATTGCATTGTATTATCATGCTCATCATCAAAACTGCATTCGGACAGATATTTCATGATAGTAATCACATTTGAAAACCTCAGTAAATATGGAGCTGGAGCTGCTGTTATTCCGAACCAGCTCCTCAGCCCTGATTCTTAGAGCAGAGCATATTTATATATTCTATATACCGGTAAATATATCCAGCAATAACCAAAGTTCATTTAGTAACCCATGGAAATTACTGTGCTTTCATGGCAAAATTATTAGATCATATTCATAATTATTAAAAGTAATGCAAGGGCAATATTTGCATCAAAAAATATAGGAGTACAACGAATCTGCTTAAACTGACATTATTAATAAATGAATAGGTTGTATAAAAACTCAGCTAACAAATTTACAGAACTATCAACTTATAACTAATTGGCACCTCGGTAGTTTAATATAGCTTTGTTTATGACTGCACCATCTCAAATTTTGATATAGTGTCTGTGACACTAACAGGCATTTCTTTGATCAAATATCTATTACAAGTATTAGGACAATGATCTGGAAATCTAACCTGTCTTACAAGAGATGATTGTCGAGGCAAACCACCACTTGCAAGGGGAGATACTTGAGTTGGAACAGTTGAGCTGTGTATCAAGTCCTTTCTCCGAGCACCAGTACCTTTGCTGACAGGGCTCTAAAAAGTAAAATAATATAAGAATTGAAAATGCATCAACCCACAGCATATATGGAAGCTAACAACATTCTTGGAATGCTAAAGTGATTCAGAATGTATATATAGATCACATGCTTATTAAGTCTGCATATTCTAGATTAGATGGATCACTGCTTTACAAAATTGTACTTATTTTTAACTGAATCTGTTTGTAAATTGTTTACAGAACTCCAAATGATAATTCCAGTACAACCACAATCCCTATCTCTATCAGTTTTGGTAAAGAAAGGAGAAGACAAGTAGCTCATCAATTTGAGTTGAAAAAAGAGCAAAGAAGAAAAAACTAAAGTCAAATAAAAGTATTTCAGAATCGCACAATACTGAAATACCAATGATTATTATCTAAGACAAGCTGTAAGAAATAGCAATAACATTTCCACTTATTAAAGCTTGCCAATATGAGCACAATTTGGAAGAGACATATGGTTTTAAATTTATCAGGTTTTTAGTTTTTCTTTTCAAAGATATAATGTGTAGTACACATAACATTGGCAAACTGACTACTGCTGGCAAATCTTAATAATGGCCAACTTAATCCTTTGTTTTTTTTGGGCATGAAATATGCCAAGCAGTGAAGCAGAGAAAAAAAAACAATTCTCATGGAAGATCGTTTCTAGAACAAAAACAAAAATTGTGTATCAAATGACTCAAAATAGCAGAGACCAGATCCACTTTAGCACCATTTGAATCAAGAAATAATGAAAGCATGGTTGGATCTCATTCAAACAGAAAATGTAAAGAGTTCTGAGAAGTGAATTTCTACCGAAGCAGACCAGATCTAAATCATTCAATTCAGAACATCAAATAAATAAACAAAATAAAAAATGCAAACCGGGCGTTCCATAACCCCAAGTTCAATATCTCTATGATTCTGTTGAATAGTGCTCATCATATTGTGAGCTTGGTGTGTCATGTCAGTATCGTCCCAATCTCTTAGAACCATGACACCAACGCTGCTGGTTCAATATTCAGAAGTTCATTTAGAAGAATAATATCATCCAGTCCAACCATAAGAACAAAGAGCATTGGAAATAATCTATTTAATTCAATATTTTCTGGAACAAAAAATTCATCATCATGCAACAAAATAAAAGATAGGTAACATACATTCAAATGCACTTTACTACCTAGCCAGCAGACAAGTAATATATTTCAGTCATTTATCCAAAATATATAGATTGGATCCTTTCCAATGAAATTTCTTGACATTTACAAACAAAATGAAATAGACAATACAGACTGAGCAAAACTAAAATGTGTTGCCCACTGGTGGTATATACCTTCCAAATGATATATACATACAAACTATACCTTTGGTCAACTATTATTAATCCAGAGCAATCTAACCTTAGTCCGATAAAAATTGGTACACTATATATCACGGCTTCTCAAACTGAGGGAGTCGCAGTACAGTTTCTCTTGGGGCTACGAGCTAAGCCCTTTAATGGAGGCGCAGTTCTTACCACAACGAACCGCGGCGTCTTATGCCATGGTTTTATGGTGCTATTCAGTAATCAGTATTACTGGTATATTCACAGAGTCATGTACCAGATTTTAAGTTTATCATGCGAAATTATATCTATTTAAACCTGAAACCTAACCTCAAATCCATCAAAACTGTATCCATGAGAAAAATGTTCCAACCTACCCAATATTAATCACCATTAGGGGCAGCCCTACCATTACAGCCGACATGCCGTGGTTATGGCAGCAAAATTTTACCCACCTTTGGTTTTCTATTTGCTGCCACGGTAACGGCAGCCTGCCGTTGGTTTGTGGCAGCTAAAAAGTCAGTCGCCATAGGTTTGGCTATAGCGGCCATGGTTTTGCGGCAGTTTTAAACGCCACAAAATACTTGAAACTGTACTTGCTCTACTGCGTTATTCACAATTACCACATAAATTAAAAAATTGACTGTGTTTTGCCTAACCATTTGACTGTAACAGATTCATTCTTTTGCTTTTATTGCTATTAAACATAGTGATTAAAATAACTGATGAGATTATGTTTTATAGAAGAGTAGGGGACCACAAATGTTAGAAGTCTATGGAGGAGTCACAGGTCATGAAAGATCAATAACCACTGCTATATATAAATATGCTTCATTTTTTAAGTTGGTAAAACAAATAAGACAAATAGTGATTTAATTTGAAACAGGCTAAAGCATAATAAGACCAAATCCTATATCTTTTAATTTCTATTGTCTAACTTGAGCCTGAGTATGTATTTTCGAATGGTAAGTGATTTCAAAATTGAATTCAATTTTTGAATCCTTTGACAATGTGGATGTATCACTACAATGCCATTTATCTGTGCTTCAATTTATATACAAAGTTATTCACATCACTTACGACTGTACCATGGATTAAATCGATGGTAACTTGAATAAAACCCACGTAGATCTCTAGCTCTCACAAATAAATGGTTAATATTTGGTTCTACTATGAACATAGGCAAATAATTCGAAGCCGACAAGGCTTCAATGTTCACCATTACTTTGAACAAACATTGGTACAAACACTTACTGAGAGCACACGATCACATGGATGATGGCGATCATTTCTACAAAAATATCAAAAAAAAATTGAGTAAAGGCTAGTTGTTTTGTTTCCTGTTTTCCGATGTTTACTCACGGCATAAAACGATCTTGAAAAACAAGTCTTATGATGATCAACAGATAAAAAAAAAATTATTTGAAAAACAGGTCTATGATGATTTGAATATTTGGGTACTTCCTTGAAAGTGTCTCCTATCCCTAACAATATAGAACATATTTTGATCTAAAAAGGGGTTGGTAAAATAAACACAATTTGATTTGAATAACATGCCTGCGCAGATAGACAATAATAAAACATTTAAACAAATCCTAACAATAAGTGATAAAATAGGCAATTGCTTGGGTAATGATAATGATATGACAGCATATTGTGATAATTACACATCTAAGAATCGGGTACTCACTTCCCGAAAAAAAAAATAGTTTGTCGACCAGACTACGCCTAGGCTATGTCTCATTTCCTATCCCTGTATCTGTCTGTTCACTAACTAGACTACAACCAATGTAGCAATAAAATTATACTTAGCGATAACAGGATGTGTGCTGCTGGTTCTGACATTCCAAGGTCCTTCAGATTGTAAATCTGAATCGAATTCAGAAATTATCATACACCGATACAGTCATAATCTCATAGGTACCGTACGGTAAATAACCCTGTAACCAGAAGTTAAGCAGGCGAATTATTTGACATCGAATGTCTACAAAACTTTGACAACAGCAGTCGAAGATCCTGCGGTCTGAGGTACGATACGTTATAATATCAGCCGTTCAGTAACCCAATCAAAAACAGCACAAACTGATGCCGTGATACTTCTCGCCATCGCGCGCAATGACATATTATCGATGCAGGAATCGGAAATCATAATGATGGTCGACATTCGCTTGCCGAATGCCGATGCACAAACTTCAGTTCGCCCTCTTGTGATTTAGCTCATGAAATGGATAGGATAACACAATTTTATTGGACACGTTTAGTGGACATTAACGATCGCTATTGGACACGTAGTGGACATAGCGATCGTTTCAACATTATGTTGTTGTTCTTGTTTTTAGGATAGGATAGGATTTACAGATTTATCCCGGGGGAGAGAAACATAGCATAGCATAGCTCTCTTGTTTTAAGTTAACTACACACAATAAATACAAAGAACTAAATAGAGGATGTATTTATAGTTTTAAATTTTATTTATCATTTGTATTGTGATGTATTTTATCATCATTCATTTTATCTCAGTTTTTAATTTGCATGCTACATCTTCAGCTCAGTAATTCTGCTTATGGTCTCACTATTTTTGTACAAATTCCTTCTACGATGTCTTAGCACAGTTTGTAACGATAACACTTCTACAAAACAACATTGTACTTTGTTGAGATATAGATTTTAAAGCACTGTTTCTCGTTTGTTTTGGGGCTAACGAATCTTAATGGCTTCACTCTTTCTTGTCCAACCCTTGACGAACGTTTACATGTTCTTTCTTAACTAAAATAAACCTATTTCAAGAAAAGATATGTTTATCTTATAGACATTACTTTTATTTTAAACAGCAATAAATGCATACAGGGATAAAATATAAATATGTATGTCAAAAACTCGAGAGTTAATGTCACAGCTAATGTCGTTTTGCGATTAATAATTTTGAAATAGTTAGTTTTGTAATAGTTATTAGATGGGCTAGCTAGAGGTATAGCAGCATTTTGTTAAAATATCAGTATCTAGCAAATGTTAATATCAATTAAATAGTTAACACTAGAAAATATATTTATCATTTCCATATGGGTCACAACCGTTAGTCGTTGGTCACAACCAACTTAAATAAGTTTGACTTCAATGTCAGGAGGAACCCAACCTGTAAGCGGCAAGTGGTTGAATAGTTTCAATAAAAATGATGTTTTTGAACATGTAAATCAAATTGTAAACGCCAACTATCAAAATAAACATGATTTTTTTGCAGTAGTGAAGTATAGACAAAATCTTTCTGGGGTCAAGGGTTGGTGGAACCATCCATTCACTACTAACTGAGGGCCAATTATGCACAATTTGCATGGTTTTTTAAATAGTTCTAATGCGTACAAACATTTATATAAATCAGGGGTGGCAAACCTATTTTTGTCCGCGATCGACTAAAATCTTCAAAATAGCTTTCGATCGACTGGTCATACAAAAAAACGAATGAGTACTGAATATGCAGATAACTGCACAGACGCATACAAAAAATGCAATGCCACTGCTACCATTGCAAATAATATTTATCACACTATACACGTTTGTCAGTCAAGACACAAAATGTTCGGCACGTTCATATTAGACCTTGGTTGCGGCGAAACTTGCGTTTTTTGCGTAATAAAATTCTCGATCGGGCTTGCCCATAATCAAATACTGTATACCGGTATGTATTTTTGTACATGTAGAGTACTGTATTCGTCCTGTTTCAAAACACACAACAGGCGCTGCATAAAATGATTCCATGAAATTTTGGGAGTATGACGTTATATTTACGAACATCAGAGGCGATCGACCACTCGAAACGTGGAGATCGACATGTTGGCCAACCCTGATATAAATCATCTATATAGATCAGGGGTTTCCAACTCAAAACATATCGTGGGCCACTTTTTGAAATTTATTGACCACGCGAGTCGCAAACCAATAAATTAGGTACAAAAATTGGTATCTGAGTGTATTGTGTTGAAATTACACTTGATTCTTACAGCAAACGAGACATGAAACATATTCATTTACTTGTGCTGAATATTTGATTTCGATGTTTGGCCTTATTTTGCGTTTGTTTGCTAGTCTTAAGACAGCATGCAAATGCTCGTCCGTTGGTCATGTGCGGAGGACTTACTTTCATAGTTGCATAAAACCGCTCGCAAATATAAGAACTGCCAAGCATCGCAGGTAAGCAACGTGAATGTACAATTAGCTTTGCAAACCTTCTTGGGCACAATCATATGTTAGTCGTTGGGCACAATGGACTGACCGAAACTCGTTTATTTCGTCCTAATGAACATGCGAAATGAAATTATTGTTTTTATAATTGAATTATAACATTAATGAAACATGAAAGTGGTGAAGTGGAATAACAGGGGGGGGGGAGACCCCTGATATAGATGATACTTGTGAACGAAAAGTATGCATAAATTTATTTCAACTAGGCCAATATTGCGGTCTGTGACGCCTGACCTACTCGAACTACCCTATCGCCTATCTAATACTGCGACATCACTGTTCACTCTTGTTACTTATCGATTTTAAGATCGGTAAGTATGTTGATAGATATTTGTCTGTCTGTGAGTCTGTTAGATGAACGAGATATCTCAAGAAGGCGAGATTGAATCTGCTCCAAATTTTGCGTCTGCATTCATCATATCTCGGACCAGAAGCCTATTGATTTATGAATTATGTCGTATATTTAGCGAGTTATCAATTAATTAATTAGTGATGGGACACGCGGTGTCACTATAGAGTCATGAATCGAAACCGTAGTTTCGATCGATAAGTCTTGGGTCTCCGACCGATATTCTCGTTTACAATATCGATATTCAAATTGGCACCCCTTGAAAACCACAGTATTGCAAAGAGTAAGTATGTAACGCAACAAATTTCCCCAGAACGTTCAATATTCAAATAAAATTCATTATTCGTAACAAATAAGTAAACAAAATCTTATATCCATTCTTCGGCCCAGTTTCTTTGCCAGGCGCAGCGACAGTGCCTGTCAGTTCCTGGTTTTCTTCTGCAAAAAGAAATTCCAACTCTAAGACTGAAACCTTGTCAGGTGAGTTGGCTTACAACTAATATAGGTCGGCACTGAGTAAACGCTATACAAGTAGGTGAGTTGTCCAACTCTCGAGCATGTGTTTTGCAGAACAATTGCTCTGTAGTCGAGTTGTCTTCTCCTAGACTGACCTAGAGCATCGATATCGCAGAGCAATTGCTCGACTGGTGACTGCCTCTCGTTGCTCTGTAGTCGAGTTGCCTTCTCCTCAAGCATCGATGACGTCAGGTCGCAGAGCGATTGCTCGACTGGTGAGTTGACTGTCTGTCGAGTGTCTGTTCGGTAGGCGAGTTTAGACTACTGCGACCATAGACTACTAAGCTCACATTCATGAATATATAAGTGTTACTGTGAAGTATGAAGGTTTTAATATATTTATTAAAGGTATAATATATTTAATGGTGCATTCAAAACATTTAATACCAATAAATTTTAAATGCACACAGTCCTATAAGTCAACAGTCTAACCTAGGATAGGAGTTACATCCCGCGGGAGAGGAAAGCCGATAAGACGGCCTAATCATATGGCGAACTACGGCCTCTCGTCCGGTTACCAGTCCAGGTCGGGTATGGGATTAGTTAGCCAGTTATTGGTTTTCAGAAGCATGGACTTGAAGGTGGAGGAAGCCGTAACCGACCAGCGGTTACGTGAACCACTCTACGGCGGCGAGCAGTCCAGCAATCCTCTCGCACATGATCATCCCCGCATGAAATTCGAACCTGCGAACCCGCAAAGTGTAATCAGAGATGCGGTGGCGAGCGTATTCCTAACGCTTAGCACGATGCGCCACACCGCCGAGCCGTGCCTTCGCTAACGTTACTCCAATTTCGTATGTAAACTGTATTTGTATTCATATAACATGAGCCAAATAAGCCACTTACACAAATTAAAATTCTTTCTAGAGAATATTTATGTCTTTTTCTCAACATTTGAGCCCTGAAAATATCAAAATCACATTTCTATAGACCTGAAACGCCGCCGTAGAAAATGCGAAAAGACGGACAACTCACCAGGCCTCTCTGTGGTAGAGTTGTTTCTGGTGAGTTGTCCGTGTAGTCGAGTTGTCCGCCTCCCGTTAACATCATCTAAGAGCATTACCAGCAACTGTCCAAAAGTTTGTAAAAGCTACATTAAAGTGTTGCCTCTAAACGTGCATTATAGTCTGACGAAAATGTTAACTCGGCTTTGGCGCGAAGAATCCTCAGAGAAAAACCATCAGAAACTCCCAATTTGCTATCTTGCTTCAACTTGGTGTTTTTTCTGCATGTGCTTACGTAACACGATCAGTGTTCTTGATGAATAATTACATTTTTCACACTGGTACTGTTTCACGTCACTGAAATAAGACAATATTTTTGTATTTCGTTTCTGAACTGTTAAATTACAATTAACAGAACATGTACACTACTTATTCATGTATGTTTGCCTTAAAATGGAGTAAATAGGGTTGGGTCGAAAATATTTGTGTAGTGCAGCAAAGCCCTCCCTTCGGAAATCTATTAACATCCCAACAATTTTGGACCAATCTGTAGGTGCGGGAAGATTCCCTTCCTTTTGAACTGCAGTAGATTCTTACCCAGTTGCATCCCAACAATTTTGGACCAATCTGTAGGTGCGGGAAGATTCCCTTCCTTTTGAACTGCAGTAGATTCTTACCCAGTTGCGAGCCATGTATGGAGCGAAATGTGTATCAATAAGTCATATCAAAAAATAAAAAAAATTCAAATTTGAACTGATTGCTTAAAAATAAAAGCTTCAAGCAACATAATACAAATATTTATACACTCCTCATTTCTTTCACTTTAATGGCAAAAGTAACTGTTTTTAATATTACTGATCAATATATTGCGGCCCGCGGGTCGCATGCGGCCCCAGAGAACTTCCAATGCGGCCCTCTAACGCTTTTATTGCTATCTAAATGTAATACATTTTTCAAACTTGAAGAAGTTGGCATTTTTGAAAGAAAATGGGAGTTGCAATATTTCTGCATTTCTCAATATTCTATAGCTCATTGTTCGATATTTCACATTTCCATCAGTACAATCAAAGGATACAATATAAGTAGACATTATCAGAAAAAGCTCAGCAGTCAATATGACAAATTTAAAGATCAACTTCGAGCAGAAAATTTTTATGTGTTCGTATATTATTATAATTATACAACTACCTAGTTACTAAAAATTAATATGAATCATAACTCAAGCGGTTCTATGTGATGTAATTGTAGGAAATGTGGAGGGAAATGTCTTGTCCGAAAATTCAGTCATTTGTTTGTTTACTAATCTATACATGAAATGATAAACATGATATTTTTGCATTACGGAAGTTATTTAAACATTCTTAACAAAATTCACAGATTAACCGATGATCATGTGACCTCGTTAATTAGAGTTGGAACTGTAAATCAGCCTGATATTAGTGAGCTGGTGGCACAAAAGAGATGCCAAACGTCAGGACATATGTGATGAAAAAAACATTGAGTATATTCTGTAGTATTTTTGTAAATTTTAGGTCTATATATTTATATTTAATCTTTTTTACTGTATGTATTATTCTTTCCTTATCAAAACTTTGTTCAAAAATGTTTTGGAAAGTTGTACATAAAAATTTATGATTTTTTGTAATAAATACAGTAAATTGCGAATTGAAATAATAGTGAAATGCAAAAATTAATATGTAAATGGCATCTGAAGTTTAAGAAAATTGTAAATCTTCATTCGGCTGTTTAATTGCATCACAATATATGTCACAAACTACACCTATCTAAAAATATGCTTTAAGTACACATTATCAAAATATATCAAAAAAATTGTTTGCGGCCCTTTGCGCAATTCCCAAAATGCAATGTGGCCCTCGAAAACCCAGTTTGACACCCCTGATATAGACAGACTACTAAACTAATGTCAGGTATTTTTACAATTTTGACTCACCTGTGTGTCAATTTATGCTGCTTTAAATTACTAGATTTTGTGCAGGAATAAGGACAAATATTGCAAAATTGTACTTGAGAAGTGACATCAGAAGTATGGTTTTTCATAAGATGATTTTTGACCTCCAAACGAGTGTTAAGATCTCTTTTACAAATCTGAATATGTAACGAATATGAATCTGAATATGTAGAAAACAAAATTTGAACCAACAGTGACATATGTCCTTGGGCAAAACTCGGAAGGGGGTGTCGCAAGAATTTTGTGTCCCACACTTGCATACATTGTCTCACTTTTCCAAGTTGTATCAAACTTATTTCAACAAGTATGATTGAATTCCTTTCAAGTGGTGAGAACGTCTTGTGTGGAAATGACTTGAAAGCCTGTTCTAATCATTCACTGTAAGTTTCATTCTTATTCCAACTCAGAATTATCATCACATCCAATTTACTTGTACATGGGAGTTTTACATATGGCTAGATAAGTTTATTAGTTCCTGCTGAGCCCAATTACGGTATATCAATATACAGTATTGAAGTAAGTAGCAACAGTCAAATTCAAACTTTTCGAATTAAAATTTTAATGGTACATTGTTTAAGTGGCACTAATCTCTGTCCCTGCACTGCAGCCATATTCCATTTCCAAACACTAAATTACACTACAGGGTGACCCAATAAAACAGAACCCATAAATTTCTTGATTACTTCTAAGCAAATAAAGAAACTTTATTTAATACTTTTGTTCATGTATGATTGTATATTTTCAGTAATTTAATGTTCTTTCGGAAATATGTTCCAAATTCTGTTTTTTTCAGGTTACTCAACCAAGTGTTGTAAATACAGCACAGAATAAAATAAAACATACCGGACATTTATGTCTTGCATTCTTCAAATCGTGAGTTAACAAATGTTTATTGAAACTGTCACGAAAGTTTGTTCTGTATGAGCAGTGAGGGCAAGGAAAACGCATTTGGTCCTGATCAACATGTTTCGCCAATCGATGTCGTCTTAGAGTAGCGGAGTTCTTAGTTTGATAATCACAGTGTTTGCATTGGAAGACCTTATTTGAATAATAGAAAGTAGTTGGATTTGAAGTTGGAAGTAAGTAAAATATGATGCCAGCGCCACCACCACTTACTTTCATATGATGCATTGAAATATGAAGGTCCCACTCGTTCTGATCTGAAGTAACAAATTGACATTCTTTACACACCAGATCACCAGGCTTACTGTGTTTTGTTACCATGTGCTGAAAATCGAATTTTGTAATTTGTAAATTTCTGAATATGATGACAATAGAGGCAAAGAGCTGGCTGCTATTCTAGGGCAAATGAGTTGCTCAATCTAATATTAGACACTTAAATATGAGGCATCATGCCTAAGTTGATAGAATTTCGACTCCAGCAGCGAATTTTTTGATAACAAAAACTTCATCATACAGGGAGTCCTCGGGTTCCACGGTCGCGACTTACGATGTTTCGAGGTTACAAACGCGCACTCCATAACGCTGTTTCGAGGTTACGAACGCACTTTATGAACATATACAGATATAAAAGATAATACTGTACTGTAATATCTAAGCCTATAAACTGGATCATTGTGATCAAGAAAATCAGTGCTCTGGGCTCATTGGTTTTCGTTATTTACATCCTAAATGACGTGACCAATTGCGAACTATTACGATTATGAACGAATATTTACTAAGCTTCAGTCACATGGTACAGTACAGTACTGTACACAGTTCCAGTGATACAGTACTGTACACAGTTTCAGTGATACTGTACGTCATTTTGGTTGTTTAAGCCGTTTTTTTCGTAACTTGTTTGATCCTTTTTTTTACTTTTTCCCTTTGTTATGGACTCAAAGCAAAAAAAGGATGTTCAGATACTGTACAGTGTTTGCTTTTATTCACGTGATGTGGAATTGTTTTCTGGTTTTCTAATAAAGTTCTTATTTGCATTATTTGTACATTTTATTAGTGTACAATACCATACTTTACAATACAGTGCGATGTGTAGGGCTATAGAGTAACTCATGCACGGTAGCACTGTACAGTATAATGTTCTGACTTACACTGAAATTCGGGTTACACCGAGTCTCAGGAACGGAACTGCGTCGTAAGTCGAGGACTCCCTGTATATGGAATCCACCTTTATTGGAAATTTTAAATTCATCGGAGCCAAAATTTCATACTTTCAATGATGATAAAATAAGTCAAAATTTCCTACAAAAACTAAAAAAGCATTAATTTTACCTAGGGTTTTATCAACAGTCTAGTAAAGAAGACTTGCATTCGCCAAAGTTTTCATTATCAAAATTAAATTTTTTCGGAGTTCGGTGCTGACCTTGAGACACATAGTTGAGAGTCAAAGTAGATTGTAAAGTTTCTCAGACTCAACAGCACTGTCTATTGTAAAATATTGGAGAATAAAAAATATAATCACATTCCTTCTTCAACAATTAGATGCTTTGACAAAATTATACATTTTAAATCATCAAAATTCTACTTCAAGTAAAATGTAGATACCTGTTTAAAATGCCTGGGTTCTCTAGCTGTGAAGTCACATCCACTTATTTTACATTTCAATGGTCTTTCCCCAGTATGCATCAAATAGTGCTTTTCAAGATGATGACGTAATCTTAAAATTGTATTATGATTTGTTCTGATAGTTATATGAATAAAGCAGATAATATTTTTTGTGCATTTATAAGCGCCTTTATACGTCTTTTAACTGGTACAACAAGGTATAAGTTCTGGAATATTGCGAAACTTACATATTCGTAGTCATTTTCAAATTTTTTCTTTCCAAATGTCTTGAAAAATTAAGTTCAAATAAGACATGGAAGATATTCAAAAATATAATTTTGCGATACCAATTATCAAAATAATGTATTTTAACGACACTTTTCTCGAGAATTTCTGGCTCAAGAATTCAATTTGGAATGCTAAAAATTAGTATGATTTCAAATCCCAGACTGAATATGGACTGGATCTTATCTCAACGTTTATTCTATTGTTTACCTTCTGGCAAATTTTAGGGTAAGGAAAAGAGAGGAATTACTTGAGTGCCTAGTTCCATAACTTCATTAAAAAGTAACAAATCGAATGCATCAGCAGCTAGAATATAATACAATTATTACATACTTAGCAACATAGTTACATCGGTCACATATAAAACATTTCTTTCCCAAATGATTCTGTGTCATATGTGCATGTAGATGGTGCTGAGTTGAAAATATTTGTGTAGGCTTGCAGTACTTGCAAATGTATCCACTCTCGTGCCTTGAATGCATATGCTTTTGAAGATCAACCTAAAGAAAAATGAACTAGAGTTTGCCAGTAAATAATACCACCTGCTTTTGGGAAAGTATCAACCCAGTGTTTCCCAACCAGACTTTATAATCATCCATGAAAAATAAAAATACCCAGTAAATCTAAGTGTCTTCTTGACTGGACTTTTGTTATGAGTGACATGACTGATAAAATATCAAGTATCAATAAATAACAGATCCTAGCTACTAACCTCATTGTTACAAGTAAAATTGCATCGATAGCATGTATATATCGTAGGGTGACTTTGCGATTTGTGTTGATAAAGGTTATATTTAGAAGAAGCTTCATAACCACATGTGTCACATAAATGTTTTCCTCCTAGATGTTGAAATCTCCTGATAACATAATAAATAGGATACTTTGAAATATGTGAAACATCAAATGTAACAAAACTGTACAAAGGAAATTCAAGCTTATAGACATAGCTGCAGCAAAGTAATATATACTTGGTAGATGAATCAGATATTGAACAGCAGCAACCCTGCTTTGCCATAAGATATTATTATTATTTATAAATAATTGTACAGGACAAGTTCACAACAACCTATTTAGAATTGAATAATTGACTTTTATAAATATCAACTATACATTACCAGTGACTATTCAAAGCAACTTGGCTTGCAAATGGCATTGCACATTCTGCACAACTGTTGGTTTTTTGAACATCGTGTATCTGAATATCAAAGTCACAATTATATTTAATAATCTGTAAAAATTGATGTAGGTATTAAATTTGCACTAATGTATGCCTATGGTTTGAAATAACAAATCAAAATGAGAAAAAACAATGGGCCAACAACAGAGCCTTGAAACAAACAGTTTGAAAACAGCCTCGACTAATAATAGGGCAAGCCATTATGTATTATACAAGCTTAACCCAAGTTAAAATAAAGTACCAGTATATATAATGCAAAGCTCATGTACCACCCAAAATTTTTCTGTGGACCCGTAAGGGCCCCGGATTGGACCCACGGGTTTAGAGGTATCACACTGTCATTTAAATTGAATTAAAAACGCAATAAATACATACCATACCTTCATATGATTTTTGATTTCTATCCATTGGGAATTCGTGTAATCACACTTTATACATTTGAATGCATTGCTTTCATAATGTGATTCTTGATGTATTTTCATTTCTTCTTCATCTTTGAGTCTTCAAAAAAAAGGAAAAATAATGATTTGTGTCGGATAAATTTTGTCTAAAAATTGAATTACCCTTCACACCGATTAAACTACAAACCACCTCAGAAGAACAAACCTTTGTGAACTAACCATTGATTACCATGCAGTAATTTATTGTACAAGAATCACAATCAAATTGTTGTTGTATATTTTATTTTATATATACGGGTATATGTATATTTTAGTAGAGAAAAGCCAATGAAATGCTTTGAGCACATGGAGAACCACGGCCTATCGTCCGCCTAACAGTTAATGTGGGCACAGTTTCAGATGCATTGACTTGCTGGCTGAGGAGCCTGTAACTGACCAGCAATTATGTGAACCATGATGGCGGGGAGCCAGTTATTCTTTTGCACATAATTATTTCCTACAAGAATCAAAGCCCAGACAGTAATCAGAGATATGGGTTCCTAATGTTTGGCATGATGCGCCAGCTGATAAGAGTGCAAGTCTGACCACAATTACATTAAAAATTGATTTTAATACAATTCGATTTTGTCCCACTTTTATACAGGAGTCAACTTAATCAAATTTAGTACATTAACTGGATAAATTGAACATTGCCATGAAAAATGGCGCGCGAATCCAATTGAGATTACCGGTAACTGAGAACTAACCGATTATTACACAAAGTGCATAGTAATGCTTTATATCTTCCTCCATGTTTCTTCATGTCTTCTTTAATGCTACTTTTATTTTCCCTCCTAATAATCTCATCAGTAAATATTTCATTTACCGATTCCAAACATGATGCTGCATTCATTTCAATAACACCTGTCGCTAAAGAGAAAAAAACTTGATTGAATCATTATGCAAAAAGCCTACCTAGCCTTAGATATATAGTATAGATCAAAAACAGTTTATAGACATAGTTGTAAGAAAGAATATCTGAATAACTCATTGTAGGTCATGTGTCACCTTGGCAATGGTTGAGTCTTCTTACAATGTTTTTTATTTGAAAATTAGTCAAGTCGAGTTTGCATGTTTTTTGAGTTTTAAAATATGTGGATGTACTTTGCCATTTCGCAATACAATGCAAAAAAAAAACATTTTCTATTTGGTTGGCACATAACAGATTTCAGTGGTGTTTATAGGCTGGAGCTGTGTCACAGGCTGTAACAAGCTGCCCACATAATATATTGGAATATGCCCACAAAACAAGAGCCAAAGGTTCAAATTTTATGGGAGATATTTATCACCATTCTTTGTTATTGTAGGGTGAGAGACATAAATGCTTCTTTAACCAATTAGGTCCATACCAGGGGCCGGCAACCAGCTTGCCTAACGTTAAACAAGTTCATGGATGCCATCTTGTGCCATATTTGGGAAACGCGAAACAATGGAGTCCTATGGAAAATTTTCGTCGTGTGGTTGTATCGAATCGAATAAATCAGCAGCCATAAGGGCTAGAATGAAGCCGAGGGGTGGGTTTTGAACTTTAAGCTATATGCTACCTAAATATAATGATATTGAGAATAAAAAACTATCTACCGGTAATGCGTTAAATTTGACCACAAACACAACGTAAAACCATCTTTGGTCATTCTTTTGAAGATTTTATATGGAAACGCCAATTTGACGCTGTAAAATGTCTCCGCAACAATCCTACAATGTCATTTGTTCTTCTAGTACAGCTTGGAGCTGAGCAGTAGGGCATTATGGAGCTTGACAAACGAAAAATGTTAACCAGAAAATAGAAACGACCATTGAAGCGAAGTTGAGTCGGCCGGTAATTTCGATGAATAAATACAGCTTTTCATCTGTGACGTCATAGGGAATGGTTTGGTTGGTTAATTATGACGATTAACAATTGGTTTATTATGACGATTAGAATGGCTAACTTACTTCAGAAGCAACTCGGAACCGGTATACTTGTCTTCAAGGACAATTTAATGTACTATAAATGTAATTTGGCAAACATGGAAGAATATCAACGTGTTAGGCTAAGATTCTCCTTAATAACGCGACCTTCAAAATTTTTCTGCCTAAAATATTAGTGAAAATAATAGGTATGTTTCAATGATTGTGTGCGAACTTCTCATAAGGCAAGGCAGAACAATAGGCACAAGATGGCGTCCATTGTCGGAGCGTTGCCTTGCTTGTATTATATATACGCTTTAGTCAATACATTAGAAAAATTGACCTGCTCAGCAACATGCGGTGTTGAAGAGACATGAGTCATTGACTCAACTTCTCAAAGTGACTCGAGTCATCTAAATGAGTTGATTCAAACATACTCAAATACTCCATTGAGGAATAGCTCAGAGATTGACTAGACTTCAATGACCCACGGTTCGTGACTTGGAATTTAGGGATTTCCTCCCAACACTACATAATCAGACAATCTCAAATAACGGGTTTGCCACAAGACTACATCGACTCGTATCTAGCGGTACTTACAATTTTCCGTTGCAAAGTTGGCCTCTTCAATAATTATGTTAATTTGATTTTTTCTCGTTGTTTCCACGTTCTCTGTATTAGACGCTTCATGACCATGATCCTGAATAGGGATAGGATTTGAATCAGTAATTGAAATTATAATCTATCTTCATGTGCAAACTATACAATAGTATGGTACACAAACATATTGTGATTTTATTTTGCAATAGAAAATACCAGAAAACAAAAGTAAATAAACAGATTGTAAGCTAATTTGTTTGTTCAAATTCGAGGCGCAGTTCTTACCACTTCATGGCAGCTCCTGCCACGAACGTACCACGCCGTCTCCTGCCATGGTTTTATGGCGCTATTACCGGTATATTTACAAATTTATGTACCATATTTTAGTTTATCATGCGAAATTATATCTACTTAAACTCTAACCCTAACCCCTAATCCATCCAAACTATATCCATAAGAAAAACATTCCAACTCACCAAATATTTATCACCATCAGCAGATTAGGGGCAGCCCTGCTATTACAGCCGACCTGCCGTGGTTACGGCAGTAAAATTGGTGGTATTCGATTTGCTGCCGTAACCACGGCAGCTCGCTATTGGTTTGTGGCAGCTAAAAAGTCAGTCGCCGTGGGTTTGGTCTTAGTGGCCGTGGTTTGGAAATCCCGCCATGGTTTTGCGGCAGCTGTAGACGCCACAAAATACTTGAAACTGCACTTGTCAAATTCATTGTCAGCAATCAGCATGTTATCAAAATAGAATGAGATTTTCATACAGGAATATTGTGATACAATGGCTTAATCATATGGCGAATCACAGTCTCTTGTCTGATTACGGGTCCAGGTCGAGAATAGAAATAGTCAACCAGTTACTTGTTCAGATTCATGGACTTGGCGGTGGAGAAAGCAAAATACAATTCACAATTCAAACTTCCGACATCTAAATTAGAACCTTAGGTGTCGGCGGTGCTTGATAACCAAGAGAGATGGGATTCGAACTACCCACATTCCAGCATCAAATAATATTAGTTTTGGTTAGTCATATCAGGGATCTACTAAGTCAAATACTGAATGTTCAGAAACATACCGGTACACAAAAATACATGAAATAAGATTTACCAAAACTTCATTTCTATGTGTCTCTTCAACATGCGTGCGTAGTTTTTCGATTGATTCATTTTCAAAAAGGCACAAATTACACTTGTAAATTACACTTATCATGGAATCCAAATTAGCCATCACTGCTTTGCGTGAAACGAAGACAGGTCTGGCTACTGTCCAGTACAGTAGTTTCATTATGAGGGGAATACCCAACACAAAAACAAAACAAAAAATTATGTACGCGGAAAAGGATGTTTACCAATTTTATTACCTTGTCTTTCCGAGAAAAAATTTTGGCGAGTAAAGTGAGCTAAGTTTTTAAATATATTTTACAGAATTTCTGAATGTTCAAAGATTTTAGTATATTTATCTGATGATCGTAAACACCGATATTAAAAAGCGAATTGCTCATAAATTATTTACATGTACCAGTTACGGTCAAAAGATGATGCTATATATTTTTTCCTCTATCAGAATTGAAGATGAAATAATTAATATTTCCTAATTATTGCATATTGCATAGATAGTCCACGTTAAAACTGAAAAAAGTTAAGATCGATCACCATATCAACAGCGCCCCCTAAGTCAACATTTCTAATAAATAATTCGTATCCCGTAGCGACCATTAGAAATTGAAGGATTGTGGGCTTCTGTCGAACCCTTTAGTACAGTGGCAGATTGATGTGAATTCTATTCTGGACTGTATCTATAATCGAATAGTTGGATTTGGACTTATGCAAGGTCAGGTTAAAATCTTGTTGATTAGTTCATTACTTTTTATTTCTGTAACAGAGTAATGAATGTAGAAATCTTGAAATAATCTAAATTTTTTATTTGCTAAACTACGGTAAGTTCTGAATTATGAAAGTTATCGTACTGATAGTCTGGTAGTTGAAAATTAGAAGACTTTTATTATACTGGAATGAATGACGTAATTTATTAGAAAAAGATATAAGCATTCCAACTCCGAAATTCATAAATTGTGTGGAAACAACTAATGAGGTTTCTGGCCTGATCTTATTACTGTATTAGTTGTAACTTCATAGATTATACAGTAATAGACTACTTTAATACAGTTAATTCTTTCCAATACAAATACAAAAAAGTTCTTCAAATGATGCGAACATTTGTATTCTGAATATTTATATTTCCTATTTGTAAAGTGAGTGACTGCGATCATCGAATTTTGTTTATACGGTACCGGTACATTTTTAATTAATATAACTTACTGACTTAAGTCATTTTTAAAGTAATTTTATAGGCTAAACAGAGGTTTAATATTTGGGCAGTCTTTATATTTATTATAGTAAAGTAGACTGCAAAGCCCAGTATTTGGTGCAAAATTGGCCGATTGTTTTTTGCTAACAACTCTTGACCAATACGCTAGAATTTTTTTTCCATCTGTCAATCAATTCTTATTTACTGAGTAATTAAATGATGACATTTTCAGTTTGCTCTTCTTTTTAGTTTATCGCACAGCTCCAGTTTGCGACAGTTCCAGAAAGTACAAAAGTAGGGGATTATATTAATCGCTATACATGATGTCTTATAAATAATCAAGAATATTTGTTAATACTGTATATTCTGGAATATACGCCCATCGCGCGAATAAGTCGACTCCCTAAAAACGGCCTCAAAACGACGAGATTTTATGAAAATTTGCATATAAGCCGTTTCTACAAATCTCGTAACACGCTGCACGCATCTATGTTCAAATTTATTATTCAAATATCGCTTATGCTACCTTCTTGTATTGTTTTTAGTGTTTATATTAATATGAAATATGGCACACAGATTCTAGCACCGCTGACCACGTTTTGTTAAAAAAATTTTCGATTATTACATTTTCTGTTTTATCATAATGGAAGACAGCACTTTGCAGAACAACTATGGTAAATTACTGCAGACATGAAAGGAATTAAATCAGTGCCGACTTGAAGTACGTATAACATGAGGAAGTTTTTGATTGAAAATATTTTACAATCATTATTTTATATTAACGTTGTCGAGATATCTTGTGCGATTAGGGCAATAAATTTGGTTTATTTTCACAAGTCTTCTCAAACATGATTTTTGTAAGCTTCATATATGGGCTGATATATTATGCCAAAGTGTCTGCCAATTATTCAATTGACCAATTATCATTTGATCAGCTGTTATTTGTCTTAATTCTTTTAAAAACAAAAACGTAGCCGGTGGGTGCAATGAAGCTCTTCCTGCCTGATATCGGCACTTGGCACTTCAGAAAGAAAACGGCTACCACGAGATAAAGTGATTGATATATGACCCTTCCGTTTTGCTAATTCAAAAAAAAAAAACGGAAAACACAGCTGTTGCCTAACCCATGGATGTACAGCGCAGTATTTATCACACCATATTTATATGTTATTTCAACCTTTCAGTTAAATGGTTGTTCAAAATGATTAAAATTATAGCTTTATTGTTGACAATTAATGCTGTAGTATTATTCTATCTGAAACAAACATTCTAACCATATAAAATTATGAACGCAAATTAGTTCGAAAATATACCGGTAGTAATAGGTTCCTAAATAATATTTAGTATATATCGCGGATGTTATTTGTTAGCCAGACGGCCATTAATGATAATATCCTTCAGTTTGAGTTTGCCGTATTAATTTATGAAATCTCAATTAGTTCAAGCTCGATCAGAGTTATGCGGTTATAAGCCAGTCCCTTAGTTTGGCAATTTTTTTTTTAAGTTTTAAACTCGGCTTATATTCGAGTGGTTTTACTGATCACCGAAAACTTTGCAAATAAATATCATATGCATTGCTTTTATTTTAGATTCATACTTAAGAAAGTATATCAAAATATATTTAAAATGCCATCAGCGAAATCAGGTGATAGTGCTGACAATGTCAAAGTTGTTGTTCGATGTCGACCTCTAAATGAAAAAGAGAAATCATCTCAATTCGATACTGCTGTTACAGTAGATGAAGTTCGAGGTCAAATTGCAGTGAAAAAACAAGTATCTGATGTTGAACCACCAAAGACGTTCACTTTTGATACAGTATTTGGTCCAGATAGCAAACAAGTTGATGTGTATAATCTTACTGCAAGACCGATAGTGGATTCTGTTCTCCAAGGTTATAATGGAACTATCTTTGCATATGGGCAGACGGGAACTGGAAAGACTTTCACAATGGAAGGTGTTCGGTCTGTGCCAGAATTGAGAGGTATTATTCCAAACTCATTTGCACAGATATTCGGTCATATTGCAAAAGCAGAGGGCGAGAGTAGATTTTTGGTGCGTGTCTCTTATCTTGAGATTTACAATGAGGAAGTGAGGGATTTGTTGGGGAAAGACCAACATGCACGTCACGAAGTGAAAGAACGTCCTGATATCGGAGTTTATGTTAAAGATTTATCAATGTTTGTGGTTAATAATGCTGATGATATGGATCGAGTAATGACACTTGGCAACAAAAATCGCTCTGTTGGTGCTACTAATATGAATGAACACTCTTCACGATCTCATGCTATTTTCAGTATTATTGCAGAATGTAGTGAAAAAGGTCCAGATGGTCAACAGCATGTTCGAGTCGGTAAGTTACATCTTGTTGATCTTGCAGGATCTGAACGACAAGCGAAAACTGGCTCAACAGGCCAACGACTCAAAGAAGCGACAAAGATTAATTTGTCTTTATCAACTCTTGGGAATGTAATATCCGCTCTTGTTGATGGCAAAAGTACTCATATACCGTACAGAAACTCTAAATTAACGCGTTTATTGCAAGATTCTCTCGGTGGGAATTCAAAAACTATGATGTGTGCCAATATTGGTCCTGCGAGTTATAATTATGATGAAACAATATCTACTTTGAGATACGCAAACCGAGCCAAAAATATCAAGAACCGAGCCATTATCAATGAAGATCCTAAGGATGCATTGTTGCGGCAATTTCAAAAAGAAATCGAGGATTTACGAAAGAAATTACAAGATGGAGGAGGCGAGGAAGGAAGTGAGAGTGAATCAGAAGAGGAGATTGGTCCTGACGGGAGCGTTAGGAGAAAGAAAGGACGAAAAAGGAGAAATTCATCAGGGAAAATGGCGGCAATGCAACAGAAGATCGAAGAAGAAAGAAAACGTTTGGAGGAACAAAAGGAATTAGCTGAAGAAGAAAGGAATGAAGTAAAAGCTGATCTTGAAAAACGAGAGGAAGAATACAAAAAAGCAAAGTTGGAGCATGACCAAATGATGGAACGATTACATGCTATTGAGAGGAAAGTTATTGTTGGTGGCGTCGATTTGTTACAAAAGGCAGAAGAGCAAGAAAAGCTCCTAGAAGAATCAAACCTTGAATTACAAGAAAGAAGAGATCAACAAGAGGAACTGCGGAAACAAATTGAAGAAAAAGAAGCTGAGCGTATAAACATCGAAGAAAAATATAATTCTCTTCAAGAAGAAATACAGGGCAAAACACGAAAGCTTAAGAAAATATGGACAATGATAATGTCAACAAAATCCGAACTTGAAGATATTCAGCAAGAACATCAAAGAGAAATGGAAGCTTTGTTGGATGGAGTGCGAGAACTTTCACAAGATGTTCAATTACAAACTTTAATATGCGATGCTTTTATTCCACCGGAATATTTTGAATTAATTACTGAACAAGCGCATTGGAATGAAGATATAGGAGAATGGCAAATGAAATGTATAGCATACACAGGTAATAATATGAGAAAACAGTCTCCAATTCCAGAAAAAAATGTAGTTGATGATTCTGATCTTGATCTATCTCACGTATATCTTGCGTACAGTGAGCAAAGCTTAAGAGAAGCATATCGACAAAAATCAGCAAAAACAAAATCAGGTCGTCCAAAAACTGGACGCAAGAAAAAACACACAACGCAAGCTGACATAGATGCTGTATTACAGTAAATATCATATTTATTTGCTCTGTCACTGCCTAATTTTAGATAATTATGTATTTATACTGATATGTTGTCAGTATTATGAAATGCGTGTGAAATTGTATGTTGCATGATGTGATTGCTTTGTCCGAATTTCAAGTCTTTAATACGAGGTAAGGCTAAAAAGAAACGGGACTGACGTCACAGATTGCGCAACACGATTAACCAACGGTTCTCAACACTTTTGCAGTGTGGCGTTATATGTGTTCTTTATACGACTGAGCAAAGAATAAACAATAAATTTTGTGTCAAACTTGGAAAAACGGCGACTGAGACTTTACAGATGTTGCGTGATGTTTATGGAGATTCTTCCATGTCCAGAATAAGAGTTTTTGAATGGCACAAGCGATTTGTGGAAGGCAGGGAGGATGTGGAAGATGATACTGATACCAACATCGAAAAGGTTTGGCAGTTGGTTCGCAGTGACCATCGCTTAACAATTTGCGTCATTGCCAAAGAAATTGGGATGAACAAAGCAACAATCCACACCATTTTGATTGACACTTTGGGAATGCGAAAGGTGTGTGCCAAAATGATGCCAAAGGCTCTTGAGTTGACTGAGGAGCAGAAAGCTCAACGATTGAATGCATGCCGAATTGACATGCATTTTTCCAAGTTTGACACAGAATTTAATGTTAATTCTTTGCTTTATCGTCATTCTGCAATTGAACCCCCTATCGCCAAAAAACTCAATCAGACCTCGCACAGCATTTTTTTTCAACGAGAAATTTATCACATTCACTTATGGATCCTGAAAAGCAAAAATAATTGCGATATTGTGTCAAAACAGCTGTTAAACAAAAACACATATTACGCCACACTGCAAAAGTGTTGATTACCAATGGTTAATCAGGTTGTGCAATCTGTGACGTCAGTCCCGTTTCATTTTAGCCTCACCTCTTAAACCCTGAGTCACAGTTCATTCGAGTCCAATGTTGAGGTAATCAATGAGTTTACCCTCACTGGCAGTTAATTGAGTACAAGTCATTTCCATTCAATGACTCGACTCACTTCGAGTCGAAACTCAAGTACAACTCAAGTTGAGTCAATGACTCCGATCACCTCAACACTGGCTCTTGTTTCTAAATTAATCTATGAAAAATAAAAATCCAGTTATTACATTTCCCTTTTTATATTATTCATAATACTTTCTTTAAATTGTTTGTCTGTGCAATGGAGGATCCTATAACGAATTTCACTCGCAAAAGTCACTCCTTCTGAGTGTTATATTGTGTTTTTGAATGCTATATCGATGTACTCTATTTTATTGAATTTTCTGTTATACTCGGCATATTGAAAATCCAGGTACCATACATACCCCTAATACAGGGTGTACTAGAATAACAGTGATTAGTAATTAATTAATTGATTTAAGAAATATTACCGTATTTTAAGAACCATGATGCACACTTTGGTTCCCTTTTTTTTCTCAAAAATTGATCGTGCGTCTCATTAGCCGGTGCACCTCATGTATGAATCAGGTAGTGCTTTATGCTTTTTTACTCAAAACCACGACAGATATTGCTTTAAAATTCCTTATGTATGAATATACTGTAACCCCAATCTTAGCAATTTATCGACAGAAAGTCTTATAATACAGTGCGCCATATCGTGCATGAAATTCGATAACCTAGTTTTGGGCCTCTGTGTTTATCCCATATGTTGAAATACATTTTTCGCGAATAAAATAACTTTTCATAGATCAAAATTTGATAGTGAGTGAAATTTTTGCACAAACTAGTTTTATTGCACAAGTTTTCTTTCTTGAAATCAAATTATCTGTTCACACTTACGGTAACATTTTTATATTGTCCATTTGTAAAAATGTTGCGGCTCATCTTTTTTACTGAATATAAAATATAGCAAAATTATACAAGGAATAGGAGATTCCCTTTTTCGATAAAATTCTCCATTTGCCTATTTTGGATCTCTTTATTCCTCCTCGTAATGCACTAAAACTCTGTTATTTTTCGTTAATTTCTCATTTTTAAAAGATCCTCAGCTAGTGCCATTTCACACTCTGGATTTTGCAGTTTGTAGGCCTATAGTTTATAATATATTTATAAACACATTTTTCAAACACACTAAATAACTAAACAATATTTGTGAAACTACCAAATACAAAGTGATATTCACTCCCTGAGAACTTCGAAATTTCTCCCCGGTGAGAAACATTGGCTCATGTTGTCGGCCATTATATTAATTCTCAGAAATGCACATCTTTCACATTATTAAGATGGTGTACGACTCAATTACAAACTCATTAGGGCCCAGCCAATACTTTATGTTATAAATATATATTCAATTCTTACCACTACATCTAATAATTGTAACAGTTTATTGTTGTATTGTATCTGTATTTTGTAGTATTAGAATAGTACAACTTTACCAAGTTAAAGATGGGAGCAGCAATTGCGAGAGCTGCGCAGTGGACATCTGTGTTTGAGAATGGAACCGGAAAACTAGAATTTTCTCCATTGAATGAAAAACTTCTCAATGATATTATCCAGGTATATTTCGTTCAAGCTCATTGTTGTTATTTTTTTTTATAGGACGCTTTCGCTCTGAACAAGGCCCTGTAGAAGCAGCCACTGATTTTTAATCTGTGTTTATTTAGATCTTTTTATTTCACTTAATACCCCTTTATACCTATGTCGTAAATTAGTTGCACGAAGCACATCAAAGTTTTTTATGTGATTTAATACAGGACTTTAAAAACACCCTGTATATTTAGAATCTTATTAAAAAATATTTTTTGTTTGTATTACCACAGTATGTGGAGAACTTTGGATCAAAGCATTCTCAAGAAGCTGATCTAGCTTTTAAAGACCCATTAACATGGAATTCTGTTCTTCCTCCAACTGCATTTACAGATGGATTTGAAGCCAGGTATATTATGATATGATGTCCTAAATGTATAAAAAATGCATTCGCGGTTGACACATGAGCTAAGCGTTAGGAACAAAATTGCCTTGTCAATTCTGATTACCCTGCCAGGGTTTGCAGGTTCGAATCCTGTGGGTGATAATTATGTGTGAGAGGATTGTTGGGTACCTAACCGTCATAGGGTAGTTCACATAACTATTAGTCAGTCACGTCTAGATTGATTATTACCAGACGAGAGGCTGTGGTTCGGCATATGATTAAAGTCATCTAATTGACTTTTCTCTCTAGTCTTTGGATTGAAAAAAATTTGATTCTAACTTCTTGTTAAGAAAAAAAATTTGTCTCCACTTCCTAGTTGCCAACTGATAAAAATTTAGATTTCACCGCCGAAATCCTGAGAAAATCGAATTTTGGTAATAAATACTTTCAAATCTTCTTTGATATACTCCTTAAAAACGCTTGAATGACTGCGATTTTCTTTGTGAAAATTCTGGAATTCTGACTCATATTTTCGACTTTCACTCCCGAGTTTAAAAATTTAACTCCAATGATAGCATACCCTGCTGAAATCAATTTTATTCCAAGTATCAGTTTGTTACATTTCCCTGAAATAGAAAATTAAAAAAATAAATTCAATTGAATTCCTAATTTTAAAAAACAAATATAAATTTTTGAATTAAATTTTTCAGTGGTTCGAAGGTTGTTTCACGAGAGAGTGATACTCAAGGAAATCCATTAATGTTATATGAAAATGGAAAAATCCAAATCAGAAATATGAATATGTTAGCAAACGTCATGAAAACTGCTAAAAATCAAAAACTGGCAGAAGCAAGAGCATGCTTAGAAGGTAATGATAAACATTTTCAACTTGACTTGACTTTTTTTATATGTTATGAAATAACTCTACTGAACTCATTTTATTCTCTGTCATTGGAGATTCAAATTCTCTCGGAGCAAGCTTCAAATCATACTGACTTGACAGAATGATGTGATTTGACTCGATACAAGTTGACTTGGAGAAGTTGATATTTAGTCCCAACTCATGCTGCATAGCAATTGTGCGTGTACGGAAAATTCGCCGTAGGAGATTTCGCTGTAGGAAATCATGCCACAGGAAATTTCGCCGCATAGGAAAAGTCGCAAGAGCATTTTGCTGTGGAACAAGTATTTGTGATTAAAACAGTTAGGTTTATGGGGTTAGGATATGCTCTTGAATAACAAATATTTTTTAAATAAGGCTTTTTTTCATACGGCGATTTTCCCTACGCTGCGAAATTTTATACTGCAAAATTTCCAGTGGCGAATTTGCCTAGAACCGTAATTGTGACAATCTGTCTGTTTTTTAACAAGGAAGCAGTTCTCAATTATATGAATATGAAGTTTGAGCATTGGTAATGATACAGTGAAGCCTGAGAGCACTAGAGTTTACTGAACAGGCAATAGTAGACAGTCGAACAATACGGAATAAAAAGTGTTGTCATTTAACTAAAGTAAAAGAGCTAAAATGTTGGTAAAATAATGGATATTTAAAAAAAAAAATAGCCTTTCAGCAACTTCTTCCATCTTTAATCAAGTATACTGTAAATTAAAAATCGATTAGTCCATTAGCTGTAAAAATATTTTTCTTTCGTACACTCTTTCAATAAAATCTTTCAATTTTTATTTTTTAGCAAACAGAGATCCACTTGTTAAAATTCTGGGAGCTGGTTACGCCACTGTCGAAGGAGAAGATACAACTGTTATTAGAATGATAGAAAAGGTAGACTTCATCACCCAAAATCAATATATTCATTTTGTTTAAATCAACTGTCTTACTTTATTCCAGCGGTCCCAAACATTTACTCTATTGTTTACTCCTTGGAAAATTACAAAAGTAAAATTTACCGACCTAATTTTGTATGCAAACTGTCTTTTTGGTGTGTGTTAACTCGTGAGTGAAATATGATAAAATGGCCCCAGGTTAGAAAGTTTTTCTAGATAGAGAGAGACTGGAAACATATGTTACCAAATAGATTGAATTGCAGTCACAACAACGTTGCAAACTGCTATTGTTAAAAAATTTCTATTTGTAGTAGCAGTTTCAAAATTATGTACAATTTTTGAATAGCTTGTTGAGCTGCAATTATTATATTTCATAATAATATCATTTTATTTTTCTTAATTTTTGAAAGATGAAAACTGATGGTCAAGAGGAAGTTTCTCTTCAGTTGAGATTTCTTTTACTGATCCAGCAGTTTGACATGCAACTTCTTAACTCTTCATTGCAACAAATCTCTAAGTAAGTTCGGAATATACCAGTAATAAGGATTGTTGGCCGGTCCCTGTGTATATCCTTAGCATTGACCAATCAGCAATAAGTTATTGACGATGTAACAATTCAACTTTTACAGCACCTTTGACACATTTTTCCAAGCATGGTTGTAAGGATTGCCTTGTTTTTGTGGTATGGCCTACTGTTAGTCAGTTTTTAGTTGTGTTTCTAAAATTTAGGTGTAATCGAATAACTCAATATCCATTATGTTTTCCGAGGAGTTTCAGTTAAATTGCAGTAATCAAACTTGACAGTTGACACGTTAAATATAAACTGAATATTGTGAATCAAAATAAGAAAACCAGTCTATTTCAGGTTTTAATAAGGATTAATTTTTCATTTTGTATTTCATTTCGTAAATAAATCTTTTCAAAATATAAATTGACCATTAGGTTATTTTATTAGTACTTAGATTTCAGAAACATGACTAAAAACTGACAAATCCTGGCAGAACAACAAAAATGAGCTAATGTTTACTACCATTCCTGAATGAGAATCGGTCCAAGTGGAAAAGTATTTTTAAATTTTCAGAGAAGTTCGTCTTGCACCAACCACTGTGAATGAAGATGTCGCATTGTTACAAACATTTTGTGGAGAAGATACATCCACACCACTACTTGATATCCAATTCACTTCCAGTAATTTCTTTTGTTATTGTTTTTTTTCCTACATAACTAAATACCAGTACATGACTGTTAGTAAGAATCTTCACGTTTTGCTTGAAACAACGCTATTAATAAATAAAATCTGAGCATTCAATCACGCTTGGTCAGAATAAAATATCAAATTTTGGTAATTCCATATTAAATGAGTCTAGTTTGCCCTGAGCTAAGTCTTGCTCCAAGTCATTTCACTTAGGTGACTCGATTCACTTTATTAAGTCTTTGATGAATGTTGACACTCGTACAGTCAATGACTAGAGGCTTTCGCTCACTGGGTCATGGTCAAAGCTTATACCAAAAATCTGTCTGGAAATGTGTAAACGAGCATGTGTCATTCTTGTCATAGAAATTTCATATCAAACATATTTTATTACTATTGTATGACTCCCTCTGGCTGTACCAAGGCAAAACTTTCCCTAAAAACAGTCAAGGCCATTTGTTTCCATTTTTGCCTTACTTCAAACAATGCAAACCACGGTGGGAAAAAACTCATCAATTTTCCTATTTTAGATTATGTCTTTAACAATGGATGTCGTGCTGTACCGTGGCGTCAAGTACATGGTGACATCTGCTACATCATAGTGAAACCTCATGATGGTGACAGCTTTTGTGTGACAGCAAGTACCTATGGCTGCTTTATCAATGGGGTAAATATTTCAATATACAGATTGAGGCATAATTTACTGCTTTCTCCGTGCACAACTATAGGCTATCTCCATAGATAGATTTTAGTAATTGAACGCTAATAACATTTCAAAATTAAGAATAAAATTTGATACTCGAGTGCAGTTGCCCTATCATACCTTTGCTCATTGGGCCGTGGCCATGTTTTCTGATAGTATGGTGTTTTATTACAGCTTGAAGGTGGTTTACGTAAGATTAGGTTGGATTAGGATTGGTCTTTCTACACAGTGAATTTCATGTATCTGAGAATAATAAGTGGTTAACAATACACCCATGCCTGACATTGAATGGAAATCAGATTAGGAAGTTTGCCATATGAATATGCCATAAATGATTATCATCTTACCTCTTCTCTGGGAAAATATGAAAGATAGAGAATGTGTTTTGCATGGTAAGCATTGAAAGCTTACCCTAACTATTGAATTATCTTTTAATTTTCAAAATACAGGGTGTGGAACAAGATACCAAAGAAGTTAATTTCGAGAAGAAATCTGACATTTACAAAGATCTTGTAGCATTAATAACAGCTAAATCACCAAAGTTTGCTCAGAACATTGAAAAGAAGGTAGGTTCTATGTTTATTGGTCTCAAAGTTTCCATATGGCACTTGGTTCATTCACTGCTTTACATCGAAACTAATCGTTTTCAGCCAGTAGAAGGATGTTACTTTTTTTTTCAAATGAAGTTCTATAAAGCCTGATATTTTACCCAAAATTCTGCTATCTCTAAGAATATTGCACCACATATTAACGTCAGACCATTTTGAATTGGGTAGTCCATTAAAAGTCTCACTAGCCTAAGTGTAAAATCCTTCATATTAAATGTTGAAACTTCTTGTGCAGAATTTTTCGAAGCGGGAAGATTCTATCATTGAGCTTGAGAGAGAAGCAGCTGATTTGAGAGAGAACGTTAAAGAAAAGGAAAAAACTGACGTATCTGCGGATGATAATAAAGTACAGAGTATGCAGAAAGCTACTGGGAAAAAAGGTTGTCAAACTTTGATGATATTTAATATCAGTAATCTGTAGTATATTTTTTGGCACTTTTGAAGCGTGTGTACCAAAATGGAGGTAACTAATTTTGTTCACTTACTTTACATCAAGTTGTGGAATGCGACTGAAACTTTTCACTTGGCTAACACAGACAGTCCCCGAACTCGTAATAGAACTAGAAGAAGGAAAATCGGAATAAAATTATGGCTTAACCCTAACCTGGTACACACACTACGAGAGTACCTATTTTTTCACTATACTTAAAATACACTTTATATAAGCAAACTACCGAAAATAATATAATATTGGCTCTTCAGGTGAGAGGACCCATGAAAAACTTATACTGGATATCGAGCAGTGGCTCTTGTGATTAAGTCCAACAGTAATTAATATACAGATAGAAAAAAGTCAAACATTGGATATTGAAAAGGTTGTTTCAAAATGTTGGATTTTAAAATCATTTGAAATATTGTTATTTAGAATTTGAATTATATTGCGTTTAACTAGAATACGAAACAAAATTGTTGTTGTTTATATTATTACAGTGGTTGTTGTGGAAAAATCACCGTTCCCTAGAAAAAATAAACTGCGGTAAACGATTTTGAAGATATAAGCGGCCACTGGAAGACCATAGAACGCTTTTAATTTTATTTTCTGACAAAATTTATTTCCACTGGGTTCGAGAGTTCACTCCAAATTTCGCTGGTTTTTATAATTCATGGGCAGACCTTTATGTGATATTCAGTAAAGTTTTTCTAACATTTGGCTATTGTGTCCATGTTAGTCATTTGAGCTTTGTATCCATATATTTGATCATGGCACCCTTATTATTCGAACTATAGGCAAAGCAGGGAAGGACAAAAAGAAACAACTTCAACCCTCTTTGAAATGGAGAAATCTTGGCGAAACAAGAAAAACTGAGGAAAAAATTGGAAAAGAAAAAGGAAAAGATGGAAAAGTAAAGAAGAAATCTTCTCCTAGTGCATCCAGGAGAGCTTCTCTTTATAACAGGTAGTAATTCTGAATGGTACAATTCGTTAACCGAGGAGTGTTAAAAATATGATGTCCATCGCACCACTGATTATGCTATATACATTCGCAGGCTCAATTTCTGTGGCAGTTTTTTGTGTATGAGAGGATTATGCTTGCTGTTCTAAGTTCAGTTTACAGTTTTATTCTGTCATTGAATCAACTGATTATTGGATTAGTGAACCAATAGATCATTTTGCTAAGTTATTTTTGTTGTTATGGTGATTGTTGTTGTTGAAGGAAATCACTTTTCACTGCATAGAACCAATTTATTTCAAATTTTCTCTGACTATGGAACCTGATGTTTCACCAAAAATTTCGCTGTTTTATTTTAATTAAAGGGGAACATATTTTATTCTTTATTGCTTGAGTGCAGATATTTTCCGCAAACTTGGTGCTCTCAGGCCTAAAGCTGTACCAGTACCGATGTACAAACTTTGTCTAAATATGTGAGCATTGCTTTGTATGGTTTCATTCATTTCCATACCAATATATTATTCAGGTGATCGCCAGTGATTTGTTATACTTGTTAGCGTTCTTTGAAGATTTTTCTTTTATTGGAGGAATGCAATGAGATTTCAAAATTTTAGATATATCAGCCAAGTGCATATCTTTAAATTGATGAGAAACTAAATTCAGAATTTCTTTGTGGCGTTAGATCGTTAGATAGAAGCAGGTTACGTGTCTTTAAAGTTGGTGAATTTGAGGGATCAAACTAGACAATTGTTTTTGGTATTAATAAAATATGTTAGGTTTTTATGAAGTAACATATGTGCATCATAATAATATACCAGAAAATGCAATGGGATGTTTCATCAACTTTAGATTTCACAAAAATTCTCTTCTATTCTATTCCTATAATTTATTTCACCATTGCAGAATTTTTAATGCTTAGAGCGAGTTGGAGTTCACAATCACCATTTTGATTCAATATTCAAAAGTACTGATGCCTAATTTTATTCCAGTTTTTGCAGGTTTTTCGGGACTAATTTTTGATAACTACTAATCTGCAATTGAACTAGAACCTCGTGAAAGACTAAATGTCCGCTAGGTTATTTGATTGATACCTAAATTTTGGAAACACAACTAAAACTGACAAATATCATGTAAAACAATGAAAATGGGACAATGTTCATGACATTGCTTGAAAATCTGTCCGGGCAAAAAATGTCTGATCGACTGCACAAATTTCAATCATTTCATCACCATTAACTTATTGCTAAATGATAATTATTACGGAAATTCAAGGAAATCAAGGATGTTTGAGATAAAGTGACATATATTGGAAATTGCTAATTGGAAACTGTTTTAACTAAATGGAAGTAATTTACCTACCATAGTTTATTATCCATACAAATATCTGTGAGATTTAACCAATTTTCATGGCTTTGCTTCTTAAAAACTCTCACAGATTCAGTCATTGCTCTCTGTTGTTTGTGAGATTTCATCATATTTAAAACTGGCAACAGTGATATTTCTTGAAAATTATATTTATGACATCATAATACACCAAGTCCATTGTTGCAACATAGTAGATGAGTTCAACAATTAAAACTGTTCAGTAAGCAAGGGAAAAGTTGAGGTTCATGAAAAGATAGCCCAGAAAAATGGTGAAACCATCAGACAGAGAGAATAATATAACAGATAAAGATGTTAGAAGAAGTATTGCTTACTTGATGCAATACCAAGCTGGAAAAGAGTAAGTTGAATTGTTTTGATAGCCTAGTTTGATCTAAGCTGTAGGATTAAGGTGAGTTGGGTGCTTGGAGAGATGGTTATACAACTCTAGCTCCTAAGATATAGCATTACGTCATTATGGTCAGGTATGCAACCACATGTAGGGAGTTGGATTAAACTTTGAAAATTGTTAAGATATGCATAACTTCTAGTTATACTTTCCGTTAAATTAGCCAGTTAGAAAACTATGAAAGAGTATGTATAATCATTGAAATGAATTAATATTCAGAGAAGATGAGGATGAAATGTTTTTGTGATATAGTACCATAAGGGCGCATGATTTTGAACCTGTTTAACAGTTTAGCTTGAGGGTAAACATGCCTTGCCCAAGGATACCATTTAGCAGTTTCATAGCAAAATGCAGATCTGATTACTGTGGTCATGATTCTTGATTTTCTATCCAATGTTATATCTCATATGTATGAATTTTTCTTACGAATATGCAAATTTTTATAGAAAAGTCATTCTATTTTGTGAAATATTTGCTGTATATAGCATTTTTATATATCTCTTGTTTTAGGAGAACGCCGGGAGTCGATGAAGAAGACATGAGTGATAGTTCTGAAGAATCTGAGGAAGAGGACGAGGCACAAGATAGAAGACAAGAAGCTGGAACTGATCTTCCGTCAGAATACTGGCAAATTCAAAAGCTTGTTAAATACTTGAAGGTGCAAATTTCTGTTATAAAATAGGGGTACATAAGTTTAAATCAGAACTTGCTATTGAAGCCAGATTCTACTATGATATGGAGTTGAAGTTGTCAAAAAGTTTAGTTCTCCCAACTCCTAACCATCTAATTAGTTTTCATCTTCATGATTTCCTAATCCTAATACCTCATACAAATAAAAAACTGAATAATGATGAATGAAATAATTCCTTTTCAGCTGATTATTCTTTTTCTTTTAATATTTACCTTCTGATATTAATTCTGATTCATGATATATTTGTGGAATTACTAGGGCTGGGAATAATCAACCGGCTGATTAGTTAACCGATTTTAGATGGTTAACGGTTACGATTTATTTTACTCATTAACTGACTTCTCAGGTACAAATCATTTTTATAATGTACAATTCATCCAAAAATGATTTGGTCATCGCAAATTTATCTCCTGTTACGTTTAATTTAAATCAATATCACTAACTGTATTGGTAAGGACCCAATAAATGTGAAGAATAATTGAAGTACCAAGATTGCTGATTATGAAAGTTTGACAATGATGTATTCATAATCAGTTTTCAGTCGAAATATATTGTTCACAACTTTATTCCAAAAGCGTATATTCAATGTCATCCAACAAATGCGCAGTTGATGTTGTTTTTCTTCATGATATCTCAAAGTAGAATTTGTACATCAAATTTGTCACACAAATGACATTTAATAACGAAATTGGGTTTTACTAAAGTACTTCCATATGTCTGATGCACGCTGCATATCTCTTGCAGCATAACGATCATGGAACGATCTCCATTCGTGAATAATTTCGAGCAATATGCAGGACTGCAGCCTGTCATACGATTACCAGTCTATATTAATACTTATAAAAAGATGATGGTAGAGGTCTGTGTCAGGTATAGGGATAGTCCTGTAATGAAATATTAATAGTTTTCTTGTTGATTCTTTATGCTCGTCTATTCTGTTTAGGGAGGAAACCAAACAGCTACAATAATAGCTTTATGTGCCATGAGAGATTTCAATCTGTCTCAAGAGACTTGTCAACTGGCTATACGAGATGTTGGTGGACTGGAAGTTCTCATCAATTTATTGGACACTGAAGAAAGCAAATGCAAGGTCAGCTTATGATTTGAGAATAAATGAGAAAAATTTTGTTTTTTATCAAAATTTATATTTAGTATGAGTTTTTTTTATTAGTATTAGCTCATTACAATGTGTCTGTGTTAGAACTGTAGGGCTAACATATTGCACGGAAGGTCATGGCATTTTGTCAGGCAAGCTTCTGTTCTCTTTGGCAAACTCGGTGCTTTGCTACAGCCTTACCTGATGGTACTGATGAGAATTACTTCTACAGTTGTTGAATCAGTATAGTACAGTAACCACTAATTAATTCTAAGCCTCATATTGGTAATTTGGCCTTTGTGTCCATTTATGAGCATTGCTCTCTTGTTTGATACAGATTGTTGTTGTTGAGGTTTATCCTGTTGTTATTGTTGTTGTTAGGAAAAAATCACAGTCGATTTTAACCGACATTCCACCAAAAATTTTGTTCTTAATATAAATTGAGGGGGAATGCTTTCTATTTGGTATTGATTGTCCACTGATCTTTCAGCAAGCTTCGATGTGCTTCCAGTCTTTAATATACCAGTAGCAATGTGACTACTGTATCCATATATTTAAGCATTGCCCTCTTTCTTTTTCTATTGTAAGCCAGCTTGGTAGAGGTTCATTCAATAAATGTCCACATCCATCGTAGTAAAAGGAATATTAAACTCTAATCTAATGCGAAAATGTTCTCACAACAGATTGGTTCTTTGAAAATCTTGAAGGAAATCAGTCGTAACGTTCAAATTCGTCGAGCAATTGCTGATTTGGGTGGATTACAGACCATGGTTAAGATATTGAAAGAGTCAAATAAAGATCTTAAATGCTTGGCCGCAGAAACAATCGCTAATGTAGCCAAGTTCAAACGCGCAAGAAGAACTGTTCGTCAACATGGCGGAATCAATAAACTGGTTTGTAATTACGTTATTATTGTAAGCTGAAATAATTCTGACAGTTTAAACTCTTTTATTTACTCTTTTTTTCAAATCGTGGACATAAATGGGCATGAAGATTCACAATTTTTTTTCATTTCTGAATTTTCGTTCGATGAAATTTCCTCGTCGCGTTAATTCAAATTGTTTCGAATCATATGTTAACTGTTTTTGCTAAAATCTTTGTTGCAAGGATTAATTTATGTATTGTTCCACGTCTGCGGTCTCTCACACCTCAATGTGATAATTATGAGACAACAATTTTTCTTTTCAAAATGATTTACGCTGATAATTTTAAAAATTGCCCAAAAATGTAGTTTGTAAATTAAGATTTTATCAATGTTCATATTTAGGTAGGGCTTCTTGACTACAAACCGACTGCACCCCTTCAAGGACACCAAACACAAAACGTCTCCGCAAAAGATATTGAAGTGGCAAGGTGTGGAGCATTGGCATTATGGAGTTGCAGCAAATCAACAAAAAACAAACACGCTATTCGAAAAGCTGGTGGAATCCCTCTCCTGGCACATTTACTGAAAACTCTACATGAAGATATGTTGATACCCGTTGTCGGTACATTACAGGAATGTGCCTCAGAGGTACAAAATGATATACTTTAGAAATTTCGAAGTAAGGTTGTATTTATGAACTCAGAACTGAAAGAAACTAACCCATGTGTGAAGTTCCAAAAGTTTCATTAGATCAGTTGGTTATAATAATTTCAATGTAAATGGTACTCACTGCGTGGCTCGACATTACTGGTAACAATATGAACTGCTACGGCAGTATATCCTAATTTTCAGCTTTGATTTGAATGCCCAGCTAACAGATTTCAGTGTAAGCCGCATACCATTGGACCTTCATGCCCATATAATTGAGCATTGCTCTATTCCAGGGGTCGGGAACCTTTTTGGACAAGAGAGCCATGAAAGGTACGTTGAGGGCCTTGAACGACTGCTCACGTGCAGCACAAGTTGAAATCACCCATCTTTCATTTGGGTGTCTCCGTAGTGCCTTGAAAATTAGTTTTGCTAGTTCAGTCTAAATATTACTAATAAACAATACAAACGGACGGAATACTTTTATTGCTCCGCGACTCTATCTCTTTGTGATATCACAAAATATGTTTCAGAATCCCCTAGTTTTGTCACAATGCCTGTGGCAATTCTCTCACATGACATAGACATTCGCCAAGCGCTCGCTCTTTAACGTGTTGGCAAATTTTCTGCCAAATATGACTATAAAAGAGAAATCTGATAATAATAGCAAGCTTGACCTTGGAACATTGAATTTTTCTGGAAGCCATATGTCGTCACCAAAAGAGCCATATGTGGCTCGCGAGCCATGGGTTCCCGACCTCTGCTCTATCGTATCTTAGATGTGATAAAATATCCTTTCCGTATGATTTGATTTGAAGTTAAATTGACCATTTTAATTTGTTCAACAAAATCTCATCTGACGAATTTTATATTTGTTTCAGCCTAGCTATCGACTTGCAATTCGCACCGAAGGAATGATTGAAAATCTTGTCGCTAATTTGGAGAGCAACAATCCTGAATTACAAATGCATTGTGCCGCTGCAATTTTCAAGGTTTGTTGAGTGATTGAGATTTTTTCATGCAGCGTATTTGTATGTTGTTTGAACAAGGCTCTACACAAGTAATCACTGCTAGGTAGAGAGCTACTATACTTTGAAATCTTTCAGGTTCATCTTTGCCTGCCAAATTTATTACACTCTGGATGAGGAGATAGGATTTGAACCCGAGATCCTTAACAAGGCATTAAGCTCACTAAGCAATCTGAACAAACAACTGAAAAAGGCTTCTATTCGCCAAAGTTTTTGTTATAACAATTAGGTAATTTGAGTCCAGAATCTCAAGTTTTTTCAAATCCGCAGTCTGAGTCAAAATTTTTATCAAGTCAGAACTGGGTGTAATTTTTTTCCGGCTTCACGACCCTGGTTGCAAATTTATTTATTTACTTGGTGACCTTTGTAGTATTAAATTAAATTTGATTATCTTATCTGTTTTGTGCAGTGTGCAGAAGACAAAGAAACGAGAGATCTTGTTAGACAATATGGAGGATTAGACCCACTAGTTAAACTTCTTGAACAATCTGATAACAAGGAATTGCTTGCAGCTGCAACCGGAGCAATTTGGAAATGTGCCATAAGCCGGGAGAATGTTGAAAGGTATTTTAGTGGACTAGGGCAGGGGTTCTCAAACTTTTGGTGTAATAGAGCCTGTGAAAAGATTTTCTATTATTCACGGAGCCTCACAATAAATTTATAAAAATAAAGGCAAAAACCGCATTGTTGCTTACCGATTAGAGTTCCTGAGTGAATTTACTTTATTTAATGACTCGGACGTATGTGCTGCTAAAAAATACACTTGACATTTGACAAACATATTGATACAGTGGTGACGAAATGTGGCAACAAGGTGAAATATGGTTTTATCTGTTGGAACTTATTGATAATGTCATATTTGAATTACCGCCTTGTTGCCACATTTCGACACTACCGTTGTCAAATTTTATCAATGCTGTTCATACTTCTTTGGAAAGTTACAAAATTAGCCAAGTGAGTATTTTATTAAGTAAACGAATAGAAAGAAATTTTTTTGTTTTTTAGATTTCAGGAACTGAAGGCTATTGAACGTCTTGTTCAACTTTTAACTGATCAACCAGAAGAAGTTCTTGTGAATGTTGTTGGTGCTCTGGGAGAATGTGCACAGGTATGATCAATTATGGTCCTAACTTATTTAATTTGCACCAAAACTATAATTATAATTTGCTAGTATTGGGAGTGCGGTGTCACATGACCATTCAATCATATAGCTAACAATGACCACTTGTCTAATTGTGATTGAAATCATTTCAATTTGTTGCAATAATATGTGGGCGCCCTAAGCGGGGTTGGTAAAGTAAGTCATAGTCAACCAATAGCTACGTCAACCAAATTGCGGCGGCGAGGAGACTAGTAATCATTCCACCACAAAATCGTCAGTGCTGTAATGGTGACTTTGATTTTAATGCTTTGATCAACTCACCTACCGTTGATCATCCAGCTGAGTACTGTAACATTTTTTTGGAGCTGTAGCTACGCTTATTATATTATATGGATCTGGAGCCGAAGCTTCCAGTAATTTTGTGGCTCCAGCTCTTAACTATTTTTTCACATTTATAATTTTCTAATACCCCAAAGAAATGATGGAAATCTATCATTTCCAGCTTATATATTTTTTTAAAATTCAATGTCTAATATTAATTTTTATCTTTCATTGTGACGACCATACCAAAAAACATCAACGGTCGTAGAGCTGAAGCTTAGTTCCAGGGCAAAAAGCTCTGGGGCATTGTGATTCATAAGCAGTTCATCTTTGATGATTCATCACATGTTGCTGTTGGTCAATTCTACTTAAAAATACTTGATTTTTCAGGAACCTGCTAATCGTCTGGTTATTCGCAAATGTGGAGGTATTCCTCATCTGGTACAACTTTTAACCGGAACTAACCAAGCTTTGTTGGTTAACGTAACAAAAGCTGTCGGTGCTTGTGCAACGGAGCAAGATAATATGACGTGAGTTTTTTAAAAAAAAGGCTAGAGTGTAATATCAAAAGGTATCAGGAATTAATCATTTTGTTGATATATCTTTCGAGCTTCCCTATCCTGGTATAAGACAGAAGTTTGTGATCGTGATGTCCTATCGCAGGAGTGGCCAACCCTCGGCTCGCAAGCCGCATGCGGCTCTTGAACCGGTTCCATGCAGCTCTTTCCGCCTTGGTTGTTCTAAGGAAAAAGTAAGTTGCAAAACACGATTCATCAATTTTGATTAAACATATTATCATTCATTGTGCATTCTTCTTCTACGTCGGAGATACGCCTTCATTCACTTTACCATGCGATCGTCCATGGTTACGTCACAATCAAATTCTTTGTTGTGAGACACGTTTATTGCACTACAACTGCTGTCATAATTCAGTTCGGCGAGCAGCGCACAATTTACCGTTTGGGTGAAGACGCAAAGTAAATGATAAAACGTCACACATTATGTCGTTGACTTGACGACTCATTTAATTCTAAGACGGATAGTTTGTCCCTCTAGTCTCAGATGAGGCTGCAACTGAGTTGAAGATGATTGAACTTTATTATATAGGGAAGACCAACTGAAATGCGCTTTAAATTGAGGAAAGGGACCATTGAGTTATGGAAAAGCATGCCAATGGCATACAAACAAGCTGCGCTTAGAGTATTGTCAATGTTTGGGTCAACATACGTCTGCGAATCTGTGTTTCCTACCCTAAAAGACGTGAAATCAAAGCATTGATTCGTTCTGACTGACACCCATGTGAAAGATCTGCTTCGATAGGATACAGTGACATACATATCAGAATTCCCACTATGTAGCATGCATGATAATAAATGGCTTGTAAATTTCTGTCAGAATCATGTTGGTTAGTGATATTTACAATAAACTAGCATTCTGGTACAGCTGAATAAAGGTAGATCTGATGTTCATGTGTGGTCTTGTTTATAATGTGGCTCTTCGCGTTATCAAAGTACAAAATGTGGCTCTCGGTCTCTTAAGTAGTTCATTGCATATCAGTGGCTGTTTGTGCAGAGCCTGTTTAGGGGAGAAAGGCATATAAATACGTCCTATAAAAATGTCATCCGATTTTTGATAAATTCACAGAAAAAGTTTATTATATGCTTCTTCAATCTTCTTCTTTTTCAGAATTATCGACAAACTTGATGGAGTTCGCCTACTCTGGTCTCTTCTGAAAAATCAAAATCCACAAGTACAAGCATCAGCTGCATGGGCTGTTTGTCCTTGCATCGAGAATGCAAAAGACGCTGGTGAAATGGTTCGGTCTTTTGTGGGTGGATTGGAACTTATCGTATCTCTCTTAAAATCTAATGACTTGGAAGTAAGATGATCAAGATATATTGAGTAGTTGTGTGATTAGCAATATAGACGTCAGATTGGTAGCTTTTTATCAAAATAGTAATGAAACATTGGCCTTGAAATGGATTTATGGATTCATTGAAAAACAGGTTGTTGTTTTTAATACTACTGGTCGTTTGCTTCTATATCAGGGTTGTGAGGTCTGGAAAATCGACTTCGTGGTTAAAATATTGTCTCGTACTTGAACATATCCAACTCTGGCCTCAAACTCATTTGGCGCATGCAAACCTTTTTTAATAGACTTGAACGGAAGCTCCCAGTTTCTGCAGATAATCTTGACTTCGATTATCACCATAAAAAATCTGTACCCTGAGATACAACTCTGGCTTCAAATTTAATAAAAACATGCTAATCTTATCAAACTCTGCAGCTGCAGAGCTCTGCTCTGCATGTTTCATTATTTCAGTAATTTGGATGAAGTGTGTTCTAAAATACCTTACTACCAGGCCACTATGCCCTCAAATAATAAAACACAGCACATTATCTGATCTTTATAACAATCTAGATTAACTGTTCATGTTCTGACAGGTATTGGCAAGTGTTTGTGCAGCAATTGCTAATATTGCAAAGGATGAGGAAAACTTGGCAGTTATTACAGATCATGGTGTTGTTCCTATGCTTGCTAAACTTGCAACAACTGTGAGTTTTTTTATTCAGACATATTTTCAATGTTTTTTTGCACAGTAGTTTTACGAACTGAGGGTCTGTAAGTTTGAATCATATCAAGGAATGTTCACTCATTCATTGCTCACATATTATTGGAGGTATTTCACTCTCATTACATTCGGGACTTCAATGAAGACCTCTTAAACCAAACTCAAAAAAAAAATATCCAATATGATCGGCTTTCCTATCGACAAAATGTTGCTGTGCTCATTTCACAGATATTATAATGAACTGTGTTCGTTTGAACTTTCGGAACATGTTTCTCCAAACAAAGTTTTCAGTCGTCAAACTTGTTTGGCTGTGAACTCTCACCTGTTCACTACCAGTGTACCTACTAGGCGAAAAAAAAATTCATGCCCGAAGTTTTTTTCCAAGAATTTCATTTATGTGGGATTCACTACCTCATAGCTGTTTTCTTGAACTTATTGACACGATCTGTATCAAGTCTCGTGTCAATTGGTATTCTACACTATAATAATTTATAGTCTCAGCAGCTCTTGGCACTTTAGTGGTTGCCTGCTACTTCACTCAGAAATTTATGCCATATATTGTTGAGCGAGTGCACTGCAGTTCATATAAAAAAGTGTTGTTGCATTTGAATTGTATTTTTTCATTAAAAAATTTATATTTCAATATTTTCACAGACAAATGACAAGTTACGTCGTCATCTCGCTGAAGCCATTGCAAGATGTTGTACATGGGGGCATAATCGGGTTTCATTTGGCAGAGAGGGGGCTGTTGCACCACTGGTGCATTATCTGCATTCCAAAGATGAATCAGTTCACCGTGCTACTGCTCAAGCTCTCTATCAACTCTCAAGAGATCCTGATAATTGTATCACAATGCATGAAAATGGTGTCGTAAAAGTATGTTATAATATTATTGAACCATTTATCCAATGAGTACTTAAAAATTTAAATTTTTTTTTTTTTAATATGATGACTGTAAGCATGTTTGTACTTGACCCAGCGGGTAAAGTATATGAGACTTCTAACTCATTTTTTAAACTATGGCCCGCTGTCACATTACAACATAAAATGTAGGAATAAATAACCAGATAAACGAAGGGCCGACCTTCGACCACTGCACCTATGTGACTGCAGCCCTGTGCTAATTCTAGGTGATGAGCTGATTTTTTACCAAAATTTAAAGACTAAATCTTTTTCTATTATATAATCTTAATTTCAGTTATTGTCGTTACCCAAACTAGGCTCCACGCAATAACTTTCACATGAGGCCCAGCAATAGCTCTGTATGGACCTGGACAAATGTCTAGGTCAAGGATGGCGAACCACTGACTCGCAAGTCACAAAGTGACCCGCCCTGTTTTATTCGTGACCCACCAAGGCACGAATAAAATAAAAAACTGCTAGCATATTTATCATTTATTTTTATCAGTGATAGTCAGGGCTGCAATCGCTCATATTCAAATTTTCGGGATGGTAATTTTTGAAACCCCTAATCTTGAACGCCTGTCTGCACTGCTGTTTGTGTACCGTTATTCAGCTATCGGCTCTGACATCGTTTATGACATAACAATGCAATGGATCTGTTCATTACTTGCAACGTATTGTCTCTTTTGTAAGTGCATCTGCAGACTGTTTTAGGGGTTATACGAGAACTGCTTTGCATTTGACTAGTTTCTCGCTTACAGCGCCGTTGAGAAAACAAAATCTTTCAGACTTGAAATAAAAACCTAGAAATCTGAAATAACAATGGGGCAGTGTAAAGGTGCCTTAATGTGGTTGAAAGGTGATCGAAAAATATAACACTATCAGAGTGGAATTCCCTCCAAACTCTTTGGAACCGTAAAATATTTTGCCATATCTTCCTAAACGTTTTTGGTAATTCATGTGTTTTCGTACTCTTAATTTCATAAAAATCGATATATGTACCTAGTGCTTAAGTACATTTAACCCACATAGTTTTGTACAGTCATCGAGTTTCACATACTGATAAAAATATATCATTCTGTACGTTTTCAGCTTTTACTCGACATGGTCGGTTCGTCAGATGAAGTGCTTCAAGAAGCTGCAGCGGGATGTATTGGAAATATCAGAAGGCTTGCACTCGCTAATGAGAAAGCAAAGTTTGCTTGAGATAATTGTTTTTGTTTTATTAATTGCTTTTTGTATAGAAAATTATTGAGTGTTTTGAAAAATATTTTTATATGATTGATAAGTTTCACTGAGTAGATTTCTTGAGAACATTCACAAATATATATATTGACAAATATATGACTGTTTATTCTGTAATGAGTGAAGACAGGACTTAGATTTGTATTATATTAACTACACCAATGAGTCCGATATATAATAACTGTAATAACTAATATACTGCCCTTCACAACCATGTTCATGGTTTAGGTTCGATTCCCTTGGGGAAAATTATGTGCGACATGATTGCTGGACTCCTCGCCGTCGTAAGATGGTTCTCGTAATCGCTGACAAATTAGGGTACTTCATCATCAAGTTCATCTGGAACAAATAACTGTTCTGAATATTCCCATACGCGACATGGTTTCCTATAATTACCAATCTGTTTTCCCAGGTAGCCCTTTACGACCAAATTCGTGTTAAGGAAAGTCAAAGTTTGTGATAAATTGTCACAGCTGGTCGGTTACCGTACCGTTTTCTCCACCATCAAGTTCTTGCATCTGAAACGAATAACTGTCCCATACCCGACATGGACTGATAACAGGACGATATGGCATGGTTGGCCGTATGATTAAGCCTTATCGGCTTTCCTTTCTCTCGGGATAAATATGTAAATCCTGTCCTATTTCAGTCTGGTTCCATGAATCTCCAACATTTTAGTCAACGAAATCGTACCGTAACGGTACATACGAGATGAGAAAGTTTTCTAACTTTTCGCAAGTGCTGTTTGGCCGTTCTTATTTTAAAGTGAAGCTATGAGGGTCAAATTGAACCAAAAATAAGGCTTTTGAACAAAACAAATAGATACAAAATATCTCAGACGCCACGACCGTGGTTTGAAACAGAATTTCAAGAACGTTTATTTTTTTTTTCTCGAATCCGAATTGCGCAATTCCGGATGTTTGCTAGGACTGGGCATTTCGAATCGAATAGTTATTATTCGAATCGGTTCAGTCTGAAATTTCGAATATTCGCCATCTTCTTTTCTTATTTGGACGTACAAAGGTCGAGCAGAATTCCTCAGTTTTTTTTTATTCAAGCCATATTTTTGCCATGTAATTTTTCTTTCTTGTGAGGTATTGATGAAACATGTTTTTTATTGTGTGTGAACGCTCAGCAAACTGTCTGGGTGATGGATTCTATATTTTCAGTAATTTATGTGCTTGGAGGAACCATCACAATAAAGTCACACACCTTATAATATCTTCAAAATATTCGAGATTCGATTCTAAAAAAATACTCGATTCCATTCTGAAATCATCGGGTATTCGAAAGTGCCCAGCCCTAATGTTTGGTAAGACGTTGATAGCCTTTTATTTGACGTTTTCCACGTTTCGATCAATTCAAATGAATTTAACAGTATCAGTCAGAAATATTTTGCATCTTACGGCATCTTCTTTATTGATAAAACGGAACAAAATACAAATGACAAAATAAATTAATTAATAACGTTGACAAATATTAGATTGAATATAGGATGTTCAGCAGTTCAGATCACTGTATTGTGATTTTGTTTCATTTTAATAATGTTATCGCAAGAAATGGTGGTCCAAAAAAATTGCGTTCTGCCAAACCACATGTAAAGATAAAAGGGCTGACAGAGCTGTTAGCCCCTCGGTATATTGCAAATGTCTCGGCGCGATGTGGCATCCGCTTTAAAAAAAAAGGCGCTGTGGCCATTTGTGGCAAAACATCAAAGGGTGTAAACGCTGAACACTCCATGAGTGATGTTTGCGGTCAGCTCGCATGAATTTTTTGTGCATGATGATTGGGGATTTGAATATATATTCAAAATTGAATACTGAGCATCGGCCTTAATCTGCGACTTGGTTCTTCATCGGAGCAAGTGCATTGATAACAGTGAGCATTGGATGAAAAAATGAAACACGTAAATAATGTGCAAGTACTGTAACTTGAGGTGACATGCAAAAAGACTATGGAATGAATAGAAACTTGAATACTTTTATACAAAAAATAGTGCAGGGTGTGACCACAAGATATATGACATTATCTGGGTTTATAAAACAAGCAAACATTTTACCAAACTAATGGTCGAATTTACACCATTTAGTTATATCCAGATATAAGCACCGCTACAAATATGTAGACTCTGCCGGCTTACTATCCCAGTCGGAGATCTATTGAATGATAGTACATGCATTGAGCGATGACGTGTGTAACCCGAGTTTGGGTATCCTCTTCCTTTTCATCGAAATTTAGACCTTGCCATATCGAACGATAATAACGCACATATCACGCGTCACAGTGTGGTTGTTGTGCATAATCTTGTCAAAGAACGATCTAATATTTCCAAAACTTTTGACGCCACGTCGAAGGAGGGCTTTGTTGACTTGGGCTAAAAAGCAAACGACGAATCTCAGCTGGCTAATAAAAAAGCGACACTGAAAATACAACTTATACCGCAAATAAATGTTCATTCCCGAACCGGCTATGGTTAAACATCATCAAACATTGATAGTAGATTGAAGAGTAGGTTGAGTTTAAAAACACTTCAAGAAACTCACGGCTGTAATTAAAACGCCATGACATGCGACGCTACAATGCCCGTTTCTAGTCGAAAGGAGGAGGGGGGGGGGGGGGTGCTTATAAATAAAGCAATAGAATTATCATACCAGTTTTTGAAATGAACGGATGTAGGATAAAAGAGTCCGACAAAATAGGCTATAATAATTCTTAGTTACGCTGTTGCTTAAATGAAGTAGTACATCTATATATCGATATTTTATTATCCTAAAAAATAAGGGCTACACAATATCCAGTTCAAACTTCCCAGTGCAGACAAATATATTTATTCCACCGTAATTAATTTTTTAACCCTGTTAACGGAAAATATTTGCAACAAGAGTTATTATTATTGAAAAAATAAAATATCAGTTTCGAAAAATTTATTGCATCCATTGAGTTCTGGAACAACTCGTGAAATTTGAAAACGACTACTAAGGAAAAATATTTCAATATTAAATATCGAGGCCCTTATGACTTGATGTCAGTGGTAAATGTGGCCCTGCGTATAAGCCTAACACAGTGTTAAAATCCAAGAAAATCAAATTTCAATTATACAACGTATCATATTTGCATAATCTGTTTAATTAAAAGAGGCGCATTTTCAATACCATTACGAATTATCAAAAATTATATTAGGATGAAATTTTGACAAATTCAAATGGTACCCATTTATAAAACTAAAAGATATTGAAACCTTAAAGACTGAAACGTATGATCTTACAAATAGCATCAATATATATTTCTATAATATACCTCTAGAACCAAAATAAAATGTTGTTACTTCAACACTATTTTACAGTCAAATTTTTATACTATATTTTAGGTGCGTAATACGGTGTTTTTCACTCTCACAATAATAAGAATTTTTTCATCAAAAAGTCCTTTATTTTCTGCTTTTTTAAATGAGAATTTTATTCTTGAAATTGGCCCATACCGCTTTTTTATATTGGGAATCGATAATATCCAACAAAGTATCAGTAACCATCTTGTAACAATTGTGTGATTATGGTATCACTAGGATGCTATAGCATTACCGAGTCGACACATGTGTATTCGATTCGATCACATTTACCCTAGATAAACCTAATTAGAATTTAAAAGAATTGTTTGTATGCTATTTTTGAGGCAATGTGGGATTTTCCGAATGCAAAGCATCCATCTCAAATTTATCCGACCACAATAACAGATATTATTTTTAAACAAAGATTTTCTGTCTTTAAGCTATACTTTGTGTACCTGAAGTACTGTTAGAGATAGGATAATTTGAAGATATTAAAGCTAATTTGCGCTATTTTGGGTAATGATAAGGTTAGAATACGTGGGTCTCAAATGATAATTTGGTCGATACTCGATAATGACAATTTATTGCAAACCAATAAAAAAGTACTGCTGGCGTTATATGAATATATATCGCATATAAGAGTAGAAGGAATAATGTATATATATATTGCGTGGCAACTGAAACCAAATATTTTTTTATTAGTTTCATTAGCTCTTTTTCACAATTCAAAGCTTTAAAATAAAGTGCGATTCGAGGCATATATATATATACCCGTTTGTAACGTTGAAGCTTTCTTATTGAAAATATTCTCAATTTGCGAGCAATGTATAATAGTGAGAATATATATGTGTGCCAATATACTACTTTGCATTATCTCTATTTCGTTTTTTAAGTGACAAATTTCTATAAACATATTGCCCTTGGCGCAAGATAATGTCATTGCATAGACTTCCACTAACGATAATGGTGGTGATAACATTTCTAATAGTCGAGTTTGAATCGAAACTATATTTTTATCATTATTTCCAAAATTGCTCTAGAAAGGCATTATATATATGAATTTGTTGTAACTGAATATGTCGAGCCCTGTCTAGAGCTTATGCTGACGCGTATGACGCAACTTTTTGCAGAAGGTATGAAAATTTGTTTTGTGCTTTTTTGTACCTAAACCACATCGCCATCTCGCCATTTTGGTCACTATTTATTGGAATAGTTGACGGGGTGATTTATAACATGAATTTACCTCTCTAGAGATTAGCGAACCCAACATCTCTTACAGCTGCGCCAAAAGTTGACACAACCTAGAATGGATATTACATTTTTTGAAGGGTTTGTGATCGGCATATCTATAATCAAAGACAATCTGACAATTGAAGTAGTGATATTAAACCTACATAATTAATCAAATATGTTAAACTCACCAAAATTGGAACGTTTTGAAGATCACAAAAACACTGCAAAGCAAAAAAATTATGAAATATTTTCTAAATTGGAAATGTATATTATTTATACAATGTATATACAGTAGAACAGTGTAATGGAATGACGAAAATGTTTTTACCTTCCAAGTATAACTTCTACCGAAACCTATATTTAAACTGCTTTATGTGTCTTATTTTAATTGACTGTTTCACATTATCTGACAAGCTCGGTCTTGAACGGAATCACTTATATTCTACATATATATACGTATAAAAGGAGTAGGTTATATAAAAGGAGCTGATTATGTATAGCCTATGTGCAATTGCATACATCTTGAGCGGAGTACAAATTTTAGGATGACCGTTGTTGCTTTGTTAATTTGTTAACTTGATATCAAGTTTACTAACGAGGGTTTAAACTCTCAAGACAATTGGACGCCACCTACATCTGCTTCATCAGAATCAAATTCAACTCATTGACTTTCTCACCATATGATTTAAAAACACCCTGCCGTCCATTATTATATTCTTTATGCTAAACGCTTTTGAAGAAATTCGCAGTTGTCTAACTTCATGTCTTCTATGTTGAAGTTTTCCAGCATGTTGCCGTAAATTTTGATAAAATTTATCAAGGAAATTCAAGCAAGATGTTGCAGTACTTGCTGCCGCTTGTAGAGATTTTTCTCTTATCTTAAAAACAAACAATTTTTTTTTACATTCGAGTAGATTGAAATAGCATGAATCTGGATTACTATCGAATCAAGATTATATAGAAATGCCAAGCATAGTCGGTGTATTGAAATCGTGTTCGCCCACATGAGAAACAATAATGCAATAATAGCTTATGCTTATGTTAAAAGTTTAAAAAAGTAATCTAACTAAAACTACTTCATGGGTATTACGGGACACATTATCACAATTTATCCAAAGAATCAGCAATCACGTTGGTATCTTATTATTCGCGAAGTAGGTCTGTCGGACGTTTGTAAAAATTTTCCTGAGACGATACACTATCAGTAGGCCACTCGTTCTTCATTATTTATAGTCTCCGAGCTTGCGCTTCCTTATGTACCTACTTCCGTAACATTGGCTATTAAATAAGATGCTTATGATAATATAACAATTGAAATTTTAGAATTTACTCAAGACGCTTTTTTCAGTCGAAATTTTAGAAGCTACTCAGACGCTTTTTTCATCAGACAGATTTTCAAGTATGGTGATGAGCATTACGGTAGCTCATTTTCGTGGTGTTTTGCTAGCTATTTCTCAGTTTTTAGTTGTTTTCCAATTTATGTATAATTCAAATATTTCAATGATCATTTCGTTTTCTGAAGAGCTTTAGTTCACTTGCAGTTATCAAAATTTAGTCTCTATGCTGCCATCGACTAGGCTAAAATTTTCTACCGGTACGTAGTTTTAAAGAGCAAATGGTTGAATATTTTGAAACAAAATGACGGTTTGAAACACGCAAATCAGGTTGTAAGCGCTAACTAGCGAGAACAGTCTCACAATAAGCATCAGATATTATACAATGGCAAAGTGTGGGAAGAATTCCCTGGGACCAAAGGTCAGGAAACATCCCGACTTCCAAGATTGTTCCCATAACACGGCTGAGTGGCTATGCCAAAGGTTTCTCAGGTTTCCCGCCAACTCTAGGCGAACGAGATTTCGAAAAGCGGCGCTTGTGCTGTAGCCTATGTTAAGATGAAGTGGACTATTCAGAATTCCATTTGTATTAACTAATACTAATTTATTGGTAGCAATTACTTAACTAAATTGTAGCATGCTGCGGACGATCATCATAAGGATCCGTCGACAGCGAGGTATGTTTGCTTCATCAATTTACATCACTTGTTACAAACTGGCATCCACTAAGAGGTGGAAAGCAACTAGACCTCGAAGAATCTAAATGTATTCGATTTGAAGTAGTCTACCGACCTTTTAACACCTCACCTGAGGTGACGGACACGTGTTGATAAAATAGCCGGGAAGAGCAAGAAGTATAAATCCAAAAAAACATACACAATCCAATATCTAATGCGGAGTTTTTCAGGTAATGTTTGTCATATTTTTATTTATAAAAATAACATGGTATCTCATTGCATTGATATTCGCATAAATTACCCCAATATTTGAGTATGTTAACGTTACTGCAAAACAAGTTTTACGATGTCTAGGATTAAGTTGAGACTCATGAGTAAAGTTAGCTAGTTATCTGATTTAATCTAGTAAGCGCCGTGGTTTACAACAGCAAAATGCATTGAAGCATATTTTTCCAAACATAACATATTACAAATAGTACTTTAAAATTAGTTTTAGGCAATGGATAATTATTTATAAATACGTGATGCCAAGTTCATTTTATGTATAACGAGCGTTTCCAGTACAATAATATCAAATCTATTCAACTGAATGATTGGAACACGAGTTCTGCAATAACTAGTACAAATGGCATGCAATCATCACAACTGTGGTCAGTATACAATCCAAATCAAATTTTCCTGTTTTGCGAATTGTAAAATACATGTGAAAGCGATGCTCAATGTGGTCAAGGTCAAATAACTACGTCAATGAGTATGATTTAGGACGGAATTATGCTGTTTTTTCCAAGCCATTCTTCCAGACGCCATCATTTCGCCGACAAATATTGTGTTTGCTTCGTATATCAAAATATCAGAACAATTTCGGAAACGGAAAGGGTGACATCATTTTACGTATTTAAACATTTATTCGGTACTTACCATTTTGCGTTTTAAAGAAATCGGAATAATTAAAATATGCCATATATTAGTCAAGAAATACCGACTTAAGAATTCCCATCCGAATTTGGGGGGAGCCATCTGAAGTTTTGGGCGAATGATCGGGTCCCACGGGACTCGAAAAAAGCAATAGCTTTTTGGCGACATATTGATTGGTCCAATCGATTAGTTGCAAAAAAGGCAATATTTCCCAACGAAAGTAACGCCAAAAAATAACTAACAACAACTATTTACCAAAATAATCCATTTGTTGACTTCGTGTCAAATACCGCGCTTAACCTGCGGGATGCGTGGGCTAGGTCGCTAGGGTGCATTTATAGCTATAATTCCTATCCTAGTCTTTCAAATTTAATACTGAAAGCGAAAAACAATACTATAAATACAGTGATTATAATACACATGTATTATTCATTCAGTTACCTTTAATACAGAAAATCCTTCCATAGCCAATCGTCTTTCTGTAAAACCAAATAATGCTCTCAACCCCGTGATATCTCGTTGAATTGATTGTCTAATTCTCGATATGTCCAAACTTATCTCGTCTGGATTCAAGCGATAGTCAGGAGAAATGGAGCATCTACTGCAATGTCCTACTCGTTTGCAATTCTGTGGAAGATAGGGCGATGCTTGAGTAGAACAAAAATTGAACACTTGTACAACAAACAGGAAAACTATGATATTTTGTGTTTTAAATGATAGGAACAATTTATCAGGTAATTTTTGACAGTCCGTTACTTTTTCCGACTTTTTAGCACCGACACGGTGGAGCATTTTCCCTGTAAACATAAGAAATTTCTTAATTAACAATCAACGCTGATGGAGTAAGTTCATCATGTGTGAAATCAACATTGTAGCGCACAATTAAAAAAAAAAACGGAAAATTGGTGAGAATAGAAGGTGTTATAGATAGATAATTAAATAGTCTATGAATTGTCAATTTACTCTTACGGGGTTGTACGATTCAAATCACACATGCACTAGCCGGTACGACAAAATACGCAAATATGTAACATTATAAAAGAAATATTCACATAACTCCATATAAAATAAAGTTCACAGTTACGAAAACTCGATGAGCTGAATAACCAGCTAATCATTGCCAGTTTAGTACCACGGGCATGCTGATAGTTGTGTCAATTAGCAATGCTCAAACTCCTGTTTTTCTAAATTCTGATTGAAGAATATGTTCAGTCAAGGTATAAACGGACTTAGTTTCAACGGTACGCATTATCCTTACAACTGAAAATCTAAATATATATAATTATTATTATAAGAGACTACGCAGGGTTTATATAAATGCCAAAATACTTACGCAGAAGTGTCTTTAGAAAGTGGTATCATTTTCATTGCTTTTGTTACTAATCCAAATTAGTGACTTTGGTATAATATAATTCTAAAGTTAGTCAAATCTATGATCAGTTTTGGTGACTGAAAAGTAAAATTATTTTTAGTCATAGTCGCTTCTTACCTATTGAGTAATGAAGCTGAATCAATATACCAATGAAATGTGCCTTTCTGTGTTATATTATTCAACTCGATTTCTTTTTGCGATGTATGACAAAACGTTGTCGTATAATTCTCGTAATCAATATCTCGGCGTTCAATATTCTTGTTATTTGTCGTCAATGAAACGATGGTGGATGAGTAGCATCTTACTCCCACTGCCTGTATTACTGATCGTTGTGATTTGATATCTACCATGTTTTATATCATTCAATGATACCAAAACTGCTTAATCCAATTACTATATTTCTATATAACCTTATGTTTATTTATATGTTGCTAAAAATAGCCCATATATATTTTAGTTTCTACAATCAACAATATTTTTGATGTTTATACGATATAACTTTTGCCTCGAAATGCTACACAGTTCTACCCTAGTCCATATTTCATAAGCCCGCGCAAACGTCCACACGCTACTTTTCTTCGGTCTCCGTTTTTGGCCTGGGGCATTTGATCGGATAGAATCGCTTACGATAATGCTTTTATCTATATATTTGCTAACTTTAAGGGTTAAACTTAGGGTTAGGAATTCGTAAAGATATAATTTCATTTCCCCGGCAGATCAATACTAGTTGGTACCAAACCGCTCAGGTTACAAGTACATTTATTGTCTTCTATTTCCTCGCTTATTTTGATCGCGGTTGCCCTTACACATACTTTCCTACGATAAATGAAAGCTTGATCACATAAAAGAGCGAAGTCATTCAGAAATGTTTTGACTACTTTTGCGCGAAGAAAATAGTAAACATATGCATCGTCCCATCATCCCTCCATTTACTGTAAAGGTTTTGCCAATTATGACAGACCTTATAAAGTATAAATCCATTAATAAAGTAAAATAAGTTTGAGCCGAGTTTGTGGCCCGATGTAGTTTCAGTAATTACAGTTTATTATAACGATAATAGTAAAATTAAATTCATAAAATGAGGTTTACAAAATGTTCCAATTTTTGAAAAATCTTGGAAAGCATTTATCGTTAAGTTCATTGAATTTGATCATTCAACCATCACCAACCATCATTCAACCACCAACCATTTTGCTTATACCACAAGTTGCGTTGCGTCACAATTTCATAAAATATCATAATCATTGCTCACGCTATTGAGAGTATCCCAATTTGCATACCACACCCTATAATTGTATCAGAAATAAAACCACTAAAAAGCAGAGTGTCATATACGTCATATGCCAACGGAAGATTTCAATTAGTGAAATTGTCCCGAAGTGAAACTGCAGCGTAAGTTGCCTCCGACTTTTCATAACAATAAAAAAATCAATTTTGATTATATATATAAACAGGTCTACCAATCTGGAAATGTGGACTTTGTGTCATTATTTATAGTTTTTAAATTAAATCACATCAACGAGTCATGTCGTGTTGAGAAAAGTTCACGGATTTAAAAATTTTCGTCGACAAATGGAAACTAGCGTTTACAATCATGCACATTATCGTACCATTCACAATATTGACTTCGGACAAATTAGTTGATGGTGCAAATTAATTTTTAAAATCCCCCTTGTGTTTTTTTTATTATTTTTAGAACATAAGTCACGAGCGAATACTTAAAATTCAAACGAATGAAAATTGAAACGTTTTCGAAGCAATGCAACACACTACCGATGAGAAAAGTTTCGCTTTGAAAGTTTATAACGAAACTGATTATAAAATTGTACTTGAGTCAACTCTTTCAAAATTCTATTACTAATCGTAAATAGTTTTACGCAATTCGATTAATTTCTAAATTACCGCCATAATTTAAATAGGACGTGTACCATTTCTCTACAAACATCTGCCAGTATGCACTCATTTCAAACTTTTTATGCAAAATTTTCTACAACTTGGGTCATTCTTGTTTAAAAGCGACCGATAGCCGAGTAGGACAGAATACCACAATTTCATTCGGGTGAATGGCATTAGACAGATACGTCTGAAAACGGGTTATAGTGGTGGGCCATGTGACAAGGAGATCCTCATAATCAATATAATTGAATTTGATTTGGGTTTATCAAGAAGATGAGCGGTTCTTCAGCAACGAAAACATAAATTTGTTTAAAACAACAATGTATGACAAAGTTGTCAATGCATAGGTGTACGTTTCGTCCATATTTTTCACTTCTATGTCTATATTATTTAACCAAGCGAGTGCCGGGTTTCATTTTAAGGTTTTCTAAAATATATATATTAAGTAAGTATTAAAATAATGAAACTCGAAGAAGTCCGTTTTCTATTGTGATTTTGGTCATGTGTAATCATGTGTAGGTAGCACATAGTTTCTCCCATATTTTGGAAACCACACAATATGCGGTTGAGAATCGTACCTTTTGGCACTCTTCACCAACACCACTCTACAAATATCGGTGAGGATGTTCCGTTTCCACCGAATTCACAATGAATAAAAAGTATATAAGGATCTGAAACAGACTGACTTATTTGTCCAGAAATTCGGAGTTGCATTGATCGTACTCAAATGTTCGGGGTACCTTATAGTTATGTCGCATCAAGAACGAAGGTGTACACAAATGCACGGTATATATTTTCAAATCCTCTCCTTTAAACTGCTATTCTCGCTTTATACTATTTTGTTTCGTACCATTAAAGTGTTTGGTTGTATTAGAAATTATTATTGTAATCTAAATTTGTGAATTATTCCCCAACCAAGTTTCGATTGCTTTGTGAACTGGAAAGTACACTGTCGATTATGTATGTACCATTTAGTTACGTCTGTCAGCTTTATTTGTCTCTAGAATTTAAGCAGGCCAATGCAATTAATCTCATATTGGGAAACACGAATATCATCACGTAAGCAATTTCCATTTATTGTGCCGTCAAATCCAGTAAACTTTCAACTTCGGGTGGAAATTTTAAGTCGACATTTCTCGACTAAAATGCGGCATATTTTTACTCATTTCCAGTTCTAAAGTAAGCACAAAATGGTAACTATCAAATAGTTGCCTCAAAGAGTAATTTTGTCGTCGCATGGACCAGATAAATGTATCACAGTGAAAAACTTGTCTTTACTTGGACTATAACTGGCGGAGTACTTTGCAATATATTCGATTCACCTTCTCTTCCTAATAAAATGCGGAGTATTTTATTTTAATACCCACACCAAGCACAAAACGTTAAATACAAATGCCTCGCTAGGTAAAGTTGGTGTCACTTATCGTGATAAATAGGGTACCGGTATATATTTTTTCAAATGAGGCCCTTCGACGTAGTCATTTAACTCGCATGTCCATTTTTGAGCCTTGCTCTCTCGTCTTTGTTAGTAATTTTATGCTGTTCTTCGTCGGTTCAATAAGCGTTGTAAACACTTTATAGAAAAGCGTAATTATTGTATCAAAGGTCAAGTATTGAAATACTGCACCCCGTTCAAAGGAAAATTCAGTACAGCTGTACTAGAGTATCGCTACGACTAGCAGGCTTTTGTTTATTGACTGCTCAACTACTGTTTTATGTATTCCGTTTTTTATGAGTCATTCCTGTACCGCGGTCGATTGATGCTACAGCGTTTTTTTGAGATTCTTATATAGAAAACGAGTTCAAATTTATGAGAATAGTAGGCGCCAGAAACCGAACGAAATGCAGTACAGCAATATTTTTTCTAATAAATCAACTTGTTTTTCCGATTTGCGACAATTTTTACAAGTACGAAAATACGAATCAAAAATTGGGCAGTTTACTAGACATTTTAGTCCACAGATCGCCATGGTGTTTTGGAGGAATATTTCTTTTAATATTTCGTAAGTACGAAAATAGGAATCAAAAATGATTTATAATCGGGCAGTTTACCACGCATTTGAAGTCTACGGATAGCCTGGTATTTTAGAATAGTAATCTTTTTTGTTATTTCGTAAGAACCAAAATACGAATCAAACATTAGTTATAATCGGGCAGTTGGCCACACATTGTATGTCCACAGATTGCCGTGGTATTTTAGATTTGGAGTAGTAATGAGTTTATTTTTTCGTAAGTCGACGCAACCACATTGAACAAAATTAAACGGTATAAGGCATTTTATATGCCGTTATCGCTCTTGGATTTGACTATTTTGCGCAACAGAAAACGATCCTATTAAAAGTCGAAACTTTTAACTATCATTATCGAAATTATTTGCCAAGAAGGAGGAAAATTATGACTATACTTCCTAATAAATCATCTTGTTTTTTCTCAACTTGCGACAATTTATTGGATATCGTAGCAATTGCGAATTTGAATAATTTTCATTTTTTCGACGTAATGCAAATGAATGCGTAGATTAGAAACCTTGCAAGGGAATAGCGAGAATGCCAATAACGCACGCAACAATATGATGCGCACGCTCACACAGAAGATAACAAACAAGCACAGTGCTGATACTATTTCATCTTCATTACAATATGTGGCAAAGCACGGAAAATCGTTTGATGATTCCTCTATTAAAAACCAAACACCTCGATTACGGCAACACTTGGCTGTTATTCGAAAATCCGCCGATACTTTGATATTCGAATATTCGATTCGTTTTGGACAACCCTGCAAAGCAAAGAAAGCGACCGTACAGTTATAGATGTAGCACAATAATATAATCATTCCTTCCCACACTTACCTATTTATTCTGCTGTGCCAATTTGCCCAACCCACGTTCATGACTCATAGCTTCAGTTTAAAATTGAGTGACCAGCACGTAATACATGTATTGCGGCAATTGTCAGGTAAATTTCAACAATCCATTTTGTGTTGTTGTAGATATGCTTCGCTTGAATTCACACTTTCCGGGCAAATTATTCCAATCTGTGTACTTCTGCCACACTTGGATGGGTGATGCTGCAGTTGTTATAAAAAATTGGCTCAAGCTAGAGAAACCTTTTCCGACGATAATATGTAGCGTACATGATAAAACGTAACTACTTCAGAGTTTCAACAAACTTTCTTT